TATTGTACGATTTGGTTTCATTTTCCAGAAGAGATCCGTTTCATCACAATTAAAAATGTCTTTTGGGTCATAATCTTTTAATGTTTGACGAAGTTTTTCTCTCATTGAATCAAGATCTTGAATTGGTGCACTGCCCCCTTCCCCATGAATATTGTACTACTTAAGATTATGTCTTTTTTTAAAATTATCAAGCCACCCATTTGATGCTTTGAATTTTTCTTCATTACACAATAAGGTAAAATCTAATGCTTTTGTTGCCAAAATACTTTCAGTAAGAACAAGTCCAGCTTGAAGTGCTTTATCTATCCAAATAGTAAGTGCTTCTTCAATAATAGGAAACTGAATTTTTTTTTCACGGTTTAAATTGGCTTGATATGAATCATTATCTATTGCAAGCTATCGTTCTTTCTTTTTCAGAATATCACTCACCATTCCTTCACTAACATCATATTCTTTTGCTAAGTCCTTTTGTTTTAAAAAAGAAGTGGATATTTTCTTTAAGCAAATCTCTTTTTTTGGGCTAATGTGAGTGATTTACGCTTTCTAGGAGTTTCTTTTGGCATATTATTAATATCAAAAGAGAGGAATAAATGAAAATAACGATAAGTACAGTGTAAAAATCCGTTTTTATATAAATAATTATTACCATATTTAACAAAATAACAAGGGTAAATTATCTTATATAAAAAATTACAAAAAATTTACCAGTATTACTAAAGAATATTCAATTAAAAACTGCAATAATTCTTCGTTATAATGAAAAAAAAATTTGTTGTAAAAAAATCTGTTATATCAAATGGTATATTTATATAAGTAATTCATACACTTTACTTTGTACTACGTTATACATAGAGCTTCTAATGAGTCGAGTTGAGTCGAGTCATGAATCAAAAACCTTAATTTTAAAGTACTTTTTATTAAGTTAGAATATAATTAAATGAAAATTTACAATTATGCGAGTCAAAAATGCGAGTTTATGTGAGTCATTTTCGGAGCTCTAGTTATACAGTAAATAAATAGTAAACTTCATTATATCAAGGTTTTTTTTATATTTAAAATTGGTACTACACTGGATGATCTGTTATATCAAATTATTCGCTATATCAAGGTTCGTTGTAGAGAGGGGTGACTGTATACTGTAATACAATGATAATCATATTATGTATATTATCTCAGATCTAATTAATTGAATCAAAAAAATCAGTTATAAATTTGTTTCCACCCTAAAATTCTTTGAATAAGAGTGTAATCAAATAAAAATAAATATGATTTTATTATATTAAAATTAATAAAATATTTTAAAATTATTATAATGATATAATCTACTAAAACAGTATTATGGATTTAGATAGTAGAACTTATTTTAAGCTAAATTTAGTAAGCTATGATGATGTAAACTTTGAAAAATATAGAAGAATAGTTAAAGCAATATGGCCTTTAACAAAAATACATGATATGAAATACCAGATAGTGCTCTTGTATTTGTGATTCATTTAGAAAATTACTAGAAGAGAGCTATTCCAGAAAATTTTTTCTAAGAATAGATATATTACAATGTATAAAAAGTTTTATAAAGGTAATAAAGTTAGCATTCTACCAACTGATTATATATATTATAGTATATGTAACTTCTTAGTTTTTATACTTAAAAGTAATTATAGCATCTATTTTTATCATGATAATTACTTAAAAAAATATATTTCTGAAAATATTATTTCAAATGAACATGCAAGAAGAAATGAAATTCTCAAATCTATTAATAGAAAAGAATTTTAGATCTGATAATAGAAACAATATATATTATACTTCTTAGTATAATTAATTTTCAAATATCATATTAAATATTATGTCACAATATCGAATTATATAGTAATGTAACATTCATTTATACTGATGTAATTAGTTTGTACTGATATATTAAAATTATATTGATGTAATGGATTTTATATTAGGTATAATTATTTAATAAGTTAAATTATAAAATTTTATTTAAAATTTATATAAAATACAAAGTATACAAGCAAAATAACATTATGATTCTAATTTGATACTATTCAAACATTCATTAACAGCTATAGTTAAAATAAATATTTATTTTCATTTTGATAAAATCATTTGCTAATGAAATATCATTAACTAATTTTTTATTTATGATACTATATCAATTATATCTATTTTCTACAAAAATAAAGAAAAAAGAAACATTAAAATGTTTTTTTAAGTTAATTTTACAAATTTTCCTATTGAATTTACTCAAAATCCTCAAGGACATTTCTGGTATTTCCCACAAAAATAAAGAAAAAAAAATGTTAAAATATTCTTTAAATTATTTTACAAAAAACTCCTTTTATTTAATTTACCTGAAATCCTCAAAAACTATTCCCTAATATTTTTTGTAAAAATAAAGAAAGAAAGAAATATTAGAATGTTTCTTTAAGTTAATTTTATAAAAACATTTAATTTACCAATATTTTTTTTTAGGGTCTAGGTAGGACTCTGAACATTACTAAAAAAACTCAGATCTGAATTTGTATAAACCTTATCATAATTAATTTCTATTTCAAATATATAAAGTTATATGTAGATTTTAGCCTCAAATTTTGCTATCTCAGGATCCAGTGATTGGATTTTAATGATCTTTAGCTTGTTAAATTCATCTCAACAAGACAAACATTTTGATGAAATATTGCATTTTGAAATTTTAGTTCTACAGAATTTGAGTTGTTTTAGTAATGTTCGGGATTCTGTCAAAACTCCAAACATTACTAAAAAAATTCAGATCTGAATTTGTATAAATCTTATAATAATATAAATAATATATATAATTTGAAAAATTAAGATAATTATTTTTTGTAATTATTAAAAAAATTAAAAAGATTATATTTTGAACATTTAATTCAATAACTATAAAATTGCTTTGAAAAAAAAAGTGGAATAATATAAAATATAAAAGAGAGAAAATAGTTTTAATAATTAAATTATTTAGTATAATTCTAATAGTAATTTTAATAGTCAGACTATTCTTGTTATAATTTCAATAGTGATTCGATTTCAGTAGTTAGATACTAAAATATCTAAATAAAAAGTTTATATGTAAACCAAAAATGCAATCTAAAATATAAATAATTTATGTATTTGAAATAATATCTAAAGTTACGTCTGTAATCATTCTAAAAGTTACTAATTCAAAAAGATTTAAGAGATTACAAATAAAGTAATATAAGAAAGTATTTATTAGTAAAGATAGGTAAATTCTAATTTATAAAAACTAGAAAGTATTTTAAATAATAAAATGTAATAAAATTATGTAAAAGATTTTTAAAATTGGATTTAAAAGATATTGGAATTTCAGAAACTTTAAAACAATATAAAATTTGATATTACAAACTTATTACAATTTATTCAATATAATAAAAAAATAGTAAAATCACTAATAGTATTGGAATTAAAGGTTAAGGTTTTAGTAAAGATAATAATAGATTATAATTCTAAGATAATATTAAAAAAGTAACTCTAAAGTTAGATCTAAAATTATTTTAAAAAAGAATCCTAAAGCAGATTTTAGTTTAACAATCTAAAGGGTAAATATGTAATTTTAATTAATATTTAAAGAAATTGGATTAATTAAAAAATATTAGTAAAAAAAGTAAAAAAAGATATGCAAATAAATATTATTTTAATTTAATGATTATTTATTTAAAAAGACTATACTATATAAAGTTAATTTACTAAATAAAGATATAAAGTTTTTAGAAAAAAATGTGATTTTAAACATTTATATAATTCTTTAAAGCATTTGTTAATATAGAAAGAAATTGTTTTATTAATCAAAAATCCATTATATATATTTAATAAACTACAAGTAAAACATTATATATATTAATACTCTATATATTACAGATAGCCTTAGATTTGAAATTTTTATATAAAAAAAAAGTAATTATACAATTTAATATATTTTAGGTCAAAGAATTTAAATAATTTCAGATATAATTGCAACTATTAGTTGTTTACTATAAAAGATAATTTCAGATTTTGGATTTTAGCAAAATACAGCTTTACTATAAAAATCATTATTTATATTATATATATTACATTTACTAATAGCAGTAGTATGAAAATAAATTATAGAGATTTTTAAAAAAAGCTATACCAAAAAGAACAAATCAAATTATTTATAATCATTTAAACTATATATATATAATATAAAAAAAAATGATAAAAAATTTAAAACTATTTTCCAATATTTTTTAAAAAAATGCAAATATAGTAGTTAGATTTCTATACTCTATACCCTACAAAGAAAGTTGATCTATATTCCATTTTTATTCTGCAAAAAGCCTATATTTTCAGAATTAACAACTTTATATTACAGAATTTATCAAATAATTTATATTTTCTGTAAATAGATCTGTGGAAGACTCATTTTTATGGAGTTTTTACAGAAATAATAGATAAAATTTTTTATAAAGACATAGTTATACTCTATATAGTTACTCAATAGATTTTTACATATCAGCATTAAAAAAACACTTCTCTATTTTTTTTAAAATTTTATTTATAATTTGTATTTTTATTTTTATGCCTGCAACATATTTAATAATTTATTAAGATAAAAACAGATAAAAGATACATGTATTTATTGCACTAAAATCTAAACTATTCTAATTTATTAATCACTAAACTACCTATCATCTCCTTATAGAAACCTCACGTATGCACTGTCAGGTGGAAACTCAGGCTCGAAGAGTAGGGTTATTGCGTGAAGCACCCCAGTTTTAGAGAATATCGCTCCTCTCTGTCTACACCCTTTGTGAGCATTCTACAGAAACCCACTACGTTACAAACACACCAAAAAAGAAAAGAAATAAAATGAAAACAAAAAAATAAAGTGTAAATAAAAGGGTTAGAAAATCAATGAAACCTCTCTACACATTCCAAAAAAGACCCATTGGTCTGTGCTCCTGAGTACTGGGCTTAACACAGTCCCTCACTATCGATCATATTTTTGCCAAAATGGTTAGCTTATCAGTATCACCCAAATCCTTGTCTTTATTCGCAGACAACTTGGCCTCCTTTTGCTTCTTGTTCGATTTAGAATTTGTCTTCTGTGAGTCCTTGAGATCACCATCTTGGTTCAGCTTTTGTTGGTGTTCTCTTTTTGGTGGCTTATTTTTAACCTTGTTCAAGGTAAAAAAAAAAAGCATCATAGCAAGGTCCGCAATCTCCTATCTATAACCCACACTCGAAGTCTTGTTTATCCATCTTGATGAAGTCACAACCGACAATTTCTTGTTTACGTAAAATTTCGAAATATTTTTCGTTTAAGAATAAGCCGTCTTGTTTTCGTAAAAAGTCGATTAATTTCGCGGTTAACTTCCTTGGCTAAATTATCTTCGGCAGAAGACTGTGATTCGTGTTGTACGTTATTGCCTGATGAAAAGAATATTTTTGAAATAGGCCCCAGAGGAAATTACGTGTATATTGGACATTCATATACTATCCAATAAATTCTTACCATAATCGATCGTTTCCTGATTTTTGTCTTCCACTCTCGCTTTTTTTGTCAATGTTTCATCATTATCATTATCTGGAGAATGTATCAGACTTCCGCTTCAAAGCTATTATTTAGTATATTTATAAAAGTGTAAATTAATAACGATACCTAAAGTAATTTGGAAGTTTAACATACATGGAAATTCGGTCTTACTGCTCCGGTCGCTGCACGTATTCCGGTAGTTAAAATCTCACACTAATTGCATCCAATTGAAGAAATATTACATCCGGATTTTGGTATATAGATATTCTCAACGGCCAGCTTTCCTAGTCTTGTGGAGTATTCGTCTTTTTTGCAGTTCTTTAAAGAGAAAAATATAGTAAATATTACGAATAATTTTATCATAGGCGATGAGAATTTTTGCTATCAGCCCACTTCAAGCAAAAAAACATTATTGCCTTGTGCGATGAGTTCGCTCAACCTAATTGCAGGACTCTGTTATAAACATGCCAACGGAACTAACTATCAAGCATAATATTATGTTTCAAATGGACTGAAGGTCCCAGATGCAACATACTTCCCACTTCAGACAAAGAAAATTTGCCTTGCGCGACAAGATCGCTCAACGTAATTGTGTATCATTTTTCTTGACATTGAGACATGGCTGAAAATCTTTCTAGCTAGAAAAAAAAATACTACCTTTAAAAAACTCTTCAAAACCTCTGCCTTGTAATAAGCTCGGCTTTTTTGGTGGAAGTGCTTTAATAATAATGTCCAATTCAAGTCCAAGAGAATTATGCGTTTGCGCTCTGGAAACTCCAGGTATACTATTATAGTAGATATCCCAGTAACTCATGCTTCCCCAGGCGCATGGTTCGCGTTCCCAGTAATCTATGTAAGTTGAAGTTTAGAAGTTTACCTGCGTGAAGCTTTTTAAGAATTTCCGAGTCGAGAACTGAGACATTATCGAATATATTAGAGAAAAAATAAGAGAAAATTTTTCAACACGTTTTTTTAAACCTGTCTAATCATGATCACGTGCCATCAAGAATTATAATTTTATCATGCAATTGAGCCATGTTTTCCGTTTGCCAGGCATGCTGAAAAAGTCTTGATAGAGTCTCTTACAAACATATCATCGAAGAAAAGTTCAATTTAAACATAAAATTACATGCACCGTAAGTAATTTATTATAGGAGATCGAAGCTTGATCAACGAACTCCTTAATTTTTGTCCGGTTTTTCGTCGTACCATACTTCAAGAAATTATCTTGACAAATGCATCTCTTTTGCTGATCACGATTAACGATGACCCAAGTCTTGTTTAAACTGAAATGTTAAAATTGATCTATACATCATTTAATAGATTTTTTAAAAATATTTGATCGCGTCACAAGATCCTGTGTAAAATATAGTTACGTAATGAAATAGCATTAACGAATTATTTTTGTATTGTGGGAATTTGGTATAATGCGGTAAAATATAGGAAAATCAACACATTTGTAAAAAACTCATGCAATCTTTTGATAAAATCTTATAATAGAAAATTTGCTTATTTGAAAAAAATTTCATGAGATTGCTTTTATGTTAAAATTTATCTTGCAAAAAAATCTTCGTTGGTACTAAAAAAAAAAGTTCGATTTATTTAAAGATTCGTTAGATTCGTTGTATTGTGAGATTCGTTATATCAAAATTCGGCTATAAAAAGGGTTCTATCCAATCAAATTTAATGTCTATGAATGTTCATTGACACTATAAAATACGTTTCTCATTTTCAAATTTTCATACAAAAGTTTTTTTCTTGCTTTTGTTTAAAAAAATATGAGAATATCAAATAGATGGACTTTAGAAATCCTAGTGAACAAAAGACCGCTTAAGGAATACGAAATTCCTGATTCAGTTCTTGGAGTAAGATATTATTATTAGTTTTTTCTTATTCTTTCTTTTTTTTTTTTGTATTTCTCAACAATTATTTTACAATAGATCAGCGCATCTAGCGCTTTGAAATCATACGTGGTCGAAGGAAGACGGAAAAAATTTTGGTATATAAAATTTAAAAAAATTTTTGTTATATTCTAAATAAAATTAATTAATAACCTTTTTTTTATTATTTTCTTAGTAACTCGGCTACATTTGTTGCAGTTCCATCACTTGGAACATATTACAATATAAAAATTTCTCCAGGTACAACACATGAAATCGCTGCTAGAGTCTTTGTGGACGGATCAAGTGACGGTTTTTTTACAAATAAATGTAATTCATCATTCATAATGAAAGGATTTTATAACAGAAATGCCACTATGATGTACAATTTTTTTTTCGAAAAAACTAATTGGATTGAAACGGATAATGTACAAAACGCTGAATTTGGTGGTTATGGTGCAATATCTGTCTATTTTTATAAAATTAAACATATTTACGAAACTTCTTTGGAATATAATTCCGACAAGACGTTTGAAGAGGTTAAAGTTCCTGAAGCTAAAAAGAGCTTTGACGTGGCTTTAACTACAAAATTTTCTAATGGAATCGAATCTCACTGTTCAGGACCATGGGAAATGATTATAACAGAAAATGATCCATTAGCTGTACTTCATATAAATTATCGTTCAGTTGATTGGTTTTACATCAAAGGAATTTCAATTCAGGAAAATTCGATGCAAGTTGCTATTGCATCTACTTCTAATAAAAACCTCACTACTACTGTGGATACTAAAAATGAAGTCATTCCTAAGGAAACAAGTGATACTGAAGATAAAACTTCAATTGATAAGACAGTTAAAAAGAATAGAAGGAGAAAACGATATCAGGAAATTATCGTGCTACTGGATTCCGATGATGATGATACACGTGAAGTGATGGAGTTGGATTAACAAACTATAATAAATATTTAAAAATTGTAATTAGTAATAGAGTATATCAAATATTATTTTTTTTTGTCTGTCACATTCTCATATTAATAATATTTCTGTACGAGATTACCGTCGTTATGCGAATTTTTCTTGATATTGCTTATTTTATAGATTTGAACTTTGAGGTCGACTAATAAGATTAAAATAAACGATCATTAAGAAAAAATTCTCGCGAATTTTATCACTTAGTCAATCATGTAGTCTCACTATAGTCAATTTGATTATATGCGAATAAAGAATTAAAAATAAAATACGCTTACTTTTACACATAAATAATCATAATTTATTTTTTTTTGAGAGGATTATTTTTTAGTCATAATCGAGAGTCTTCAATGATTTTTAAATGTATCACTAATAAAAAAAAAAAACTTCTTGCCAGTATTTATATACGGATATTGTAAAGAATAGATCGCTATATACAGTATATTAATGTAATTTTCTCATAAATTATTCGGTTTATATAAATCATATAATTATGAGGTTAGGGTCAGGTAAGTGGTTCTTTTACCTGTCTTGTAAAAATAAATGAAGAACCTTTTCGTCAAAAAATATCAATCGAAGAAAAAAAATCTCTACAAAGAATAAGATATGCTGAAAATATTGACATTTTTCCATTCATAGATCGCGTGTTAGATATTAAAGAAAGTAGGGCTGATGAGACATATTATACGAGTGTTATACGGGTCGCCATAGAACAGTCATTGCAGTGACATTTTGTACATTTGATTTTCATAATTTCATTCTACGCAGTGCATCAGAAGTTTGGTGCAATATCATAAGTACGACATACTTGTTATCATAATGCGGTAAGAGATTAATTCATAGTAACTTTTTTGGATATATGGTGGAATAAGAATAGAACATAATGGTAAAAGGAATTTGGATATATTCAGAAAATTCAGAAATACAAATGGTTTATAGTGATCAGCTAGATAGGCATAATGACGGAATATATAGGTCTTTGGAGTAACAGGAAGGAGCTCCCATTTTAGGTTAGGACTCGAGATGCTTCATCCCTTTAAATGTTCGCTAATTCAGTCTATTTTACTTTTAAAATTTTTTACGCATGAAAATTGTAGTTAAGGGTTAGTAAAAATTATTAGATTCTCCGCAAATAACCGACTTTGAATCACGCCAAAATATTCCAACTCAATTAATTTATCACGCGTGAATAGAAAACTAGAAGTCAATGCAAGTATCACCTTATTGATGATCAATCATAAAACTTATCACATCATAACAAACAATAAGTCACTCTTTTCTTTTATTAAATAGGATAAATAATATGCTTTTAATGATGCATACAGCTCTAAGTTTGTCTGACTTTGTTTCTTTTCTAAACATAGCAACAAATAGAGACGATAGAAAATTTCAAATGTTTCTATATTCTTAACAATATCAATCGAAGTCTTATTTCTATTGCTCAAAGCTAAACGCTTTGAACCGAACCAACGCCCTCCTGAAGCGAATCAACACAACAACTCGGATCCATCGATAATAATGTATTGAAGATATACAAATTTTTACACAACCAAAGATTGTCATTATGCTGTACAATTTTACCTGCTATTCAAGTATTAATAATACTTTATGATGGCTTTCTTGTTATTATTATAATTAAACAAAAAGCGATATAATCTCTACGATCATTCATTAAATGTTCCAAAAGACATACTATAATATGATAAATTATGTCACATTTTTATATAAAAATGAATATCAAATAATGAAACTTGAGAATTCACAAGCAAAATATGGAAGACTATTAAATGCAATTCCGTTGTTCAGGTAAGTATTTTCAAGAATTGTATATCGGAGATTTATCAAGCTAAAAAAAAAAATACATGCTTTTTTTCGATTTATTATTTATACCACATCTGTCCCAGTACTTCGAATATAGAATTTCATACATTACGGATAGTTTTATTCTACGTTACAAAGATTCAAAAAATTGCAACATATAAATGATAGAAATCTCAAGAGAATTCTTACTTAATTGGTAATGGAAATTAAATATTTCTCTGTTATTTAATTCAAGATTTAAATGGTACTGAAAATTTTTATATACGCAATGGCCAAAGAAATAATTAATTATATTTATAGGTTTAGCGTTAGTATATCTGTCTACATATTTTAGAAATATATAAAATTTTTCGAAAGGCCGGTTTTCTGTATTACCCGATTTTTCCCGAACAATTAATTTGCGGCAAATCAGTGGCTTATTACAAATTTTGGTTAACATTAACTTGATAAACAAAAACAAATGAATTTTTAATTGAGTTTCAACTTGCGAATTATTTGAAGTGAATTGTATGAACAAACATTATTTTATACAAAATTGGATCTTGATGTTCAAAATATTATATTTTTGGTCCCCCTTTTTAATAAGGAAAAATAATATATATTTATATATAATATTTTTATTTTTACGCGCAATTAATCTAATGATAAGGAATTAAATGTGAAATCTAAAAGAATTGGCAAAACTTGTTTAAAAGATGAAAATTTTTTTGATAATTTAAAAAACAGATTATCTTTAATAATAATAAGGCTGAACTCATCATTTATTTTACGCCTTTCCCATTTTAATATTAATTTTGTTTACTACTAAAGGATTAATACCTTATAAATGTAACATAGCGCAGAAAGAATAACACGTACAAGATACAAAGTTTTTCTTTGTTCAACATAAAAACCTCATTGTTTGTTTATTTTTGTTTTTGATTTACTTCCAAGAATTTGTAATTTTTCTCTCGGAAATTTATTTAAGCCGCTTTGTCCGTTTGTCGCGCTTTGCTAATAACCCTGAATTTGCACAACTTATTATGATCGGACACGTAGAATGACGACAAATATAATTTATCTTAATTAGGGATTATAAGAAGACGTTTTTGGAAGACAGAAAAAGAAGGTATACATAAAAACAAAACCAATAAAATTCCTGTTTCTTTAAATATCACAAAAAACAAATGAAGACCCATAAATATTTTCTTTTTTTTTAACAAAACATTTTTTTGGTGACACAACTCTTTGAATGATGAAAGTAAAAGAATGATTTTTAGTATTGTAATACATTTAAATGAAAGATAAACACGGAGTTAAAAAAAAAAGATTTAAATACGATGATTCATTGATGATGTTAGCGGTTGAAATCGATTTTTATGCTTCTCTTATTCAACTATATTGGGAAGGAATTAAAAGAACAAAAGGTTATTTTTACTATATTATTGTGATTAAATTGGTATGGATTGATTTTAAAAAATTCATGACATTCTATCAGTTATATAAGTTATATAAATTACCTCTTACACGTGACTATTATGACGTAAATAATCACAAATAGAACTCTATTTATATTATCACATTCATTTCTTCCATATAGTCACTTTTTCGGATTTTTTTAACAGCTCTGATAGTTATATATATAGAGGTCCGATTCGGAGAAATCATTTTACAATCCGGATTATTTGATTTCTTTGTGTGACCTGACATAATATTTATTTGATAAGGTTTTTGATAAAACTTTTTCTCTCTTTCAAAAACTGTAAAAACTGATTCAAAAAAAAAAAACGATTTTAATTATGGAAAAAAAACGAAATGAAACTTTACCTAATCTCGCAACGGAAACTATAGTTCAAATTTTCAAGGATTTGGATTTTCATAGCTTACATTCTTGTGCGCTTGTTAATCGATATCTATGTCAAGTTGCAATTCCAATGTTATGGATGGAACCATTCGAAAACATTTATAAAGAGACCATACCTTTAACGGGAGGAAGAAGTTTAAAAAATATGTATTTAACAAAATCCATTAAAAAGTTATCGCTCCTTGTTGATACTTATATTAATTGTTTACCTGAAGAATCCAAATTTAAATTAACGAATGCTGGAATTGTGGGTTTTTATAAAACAAAATATCCAAATTACGATTATCCGAGTTTTTTGCAAAGTTTAGATATTATAAGTTTATTCTTAGGTTGCCGTGCTTGGTTAGGTATAAGATTTAAATATAAACTTGCATCTTCAGTAGAAACCAGTTTACTTTTACATCAAATTAGGATACTATTTTTTGAATTATGTAAACTTTTTATGAGTCAAAGTATGGATATTAAGGGATTATATTTGATAAATAAGAAATTTTCAGAAGAATTGGAATGTGGAGAAAAGTGTGACGATCATTGTTTAAAAAATTGTCTTATTAATCGTGTTATCAATCCAATCGTCAATCAAATACCTGATTTACCTGGAGCTTCAAAATGTTTAACTAAATTGGAATGTTTAGGAACCGATGATAATACTCCCATAGAATTTCTTCAAAAAATTTCTTATTCATGTAAAGAAATAAAAAATTTAATTTTTGCTCCTGGATTTGTTAATATTGATGATAAAATATCAATCCTTTCCTCACAAAATCATTTGAAATATTTAATCTTACAAGGATATTTGTATGATTATTCTCCTGAAACACGACAAGTTTTTGAAAAGATTTTCAAATATCTTGAATGGTTAACTATCGACGGAAGATATATATTACCAATTAAAAAGTTGAATTCTTTTGAAAATCTTGTCGCTTTGGAAGTAGTTAGTAAATATCAATGTTATAATCAAAGTTATGATATTTTTAAACTTTTAGCGGATGTGGAATTTCCGAAATTACAATATCTTCTTGTTGACATAGGAATTTCATATTTTAAATTATGGTCATTAATAATTTCAAAAACAACAAATTTAAAAAAAATTGTTTTACATTGGAATCATCGTTTGGTTCAAGATTATGTCGGTTTTGTTGATTTAACTTCAAGTATCATAAATCATTGTCCAAATCTTATCATTTTGAAGATGAATTGGATTAATAATTATAGTGAATCTATTAATTATTTATTGGAAATTTTTAAACATTGTGTTAAATTGGAATATTTTGGAATTCTTAATAGTGGAATATTCGACGAAGATTATTATTTACCATTATTAGGAAATAATTTACCTCCAAATTTAAGAGTATTAAAACATTTGAATGTTCCAATTTATTATTCTGTTGAATCTTTGGAATTATTCTTTAGGAGTGCATCAAATAGATTGAACGCTCCTTTGAATATTGATTTAAATTTGTTTCCAGGTCACGAACATTCAAAGATTGCTCAAGATTATTTCTTTACTGGTTTAACCAACCCTGCTTTTACAAAATTTGATTATGATAAAAGACTTGATTATTACCGGTGCAATTTAAGGTATTTTATATTATTATTTATGATTGATTACAAGATTTGTTTTATTCTTAATTAATTTTTCAATTATAGATATATCTAGATTATTCGCACGTTAACTCTTTAGTTTCGATCGAATATATCATAACGAACTTTGAATTATTCCTTTCAATTCAAAATGATAATCCACTTTGAATTGAAGCGACATGCAATGCAAGCGCTTTGAGCCCGATTTTAACAAAATTGGGTGAATTTTGGTGTGAGATAAAATTAATAAAATGTAATTCATTTAAAATTCTCACAAATTTAATCGCTTGAAACAAGTAGGAGCGAACCCCTTAACCCAATTTCTATTATTTGTATTATGTCACATGATATTAGCACAAATATTAGTAATGATAAAAATTGACACATTATTGTAATACAATTTAAGTATTAGTACAGATAGCTCGCGTAACCATATTAGCACGTGATATCTATAATAAATTTCCACTTTTATATAAAAAAAAAAAATAATAAATAGTGCGGAGACTTACCAAAAAAAAAAAAAAAAAAATTTTTTNTTACGTTACTGTTTATCCATATTTAAATTCAAAATGTTACCGCCAATTAATTAAAAAGGAAAGTGAATTCTTTATAAAATGAACTTGATTTTCCCAAAAAAAAAAAAAAAATAATTTTTTCTCTTTCTCTCTCCTTTTTTTTTTTGATCAGCTTATATTAAATATTTCTCATTTCTTTAATGTTATCGAAAAGTGCCAGAAAAATTGAGAAATTATCTAAACTAAATATAACGATAGTTGTTACGCTTATATAATTGTTATTAAGTTAATCAAAGGATTATCTGAAAATCTCAAACAACATTTCTCATTTTTTTTTCTCCGAAACGTATCGTCAAATCTTTTTTTAAATAATATATATATTTTTTTAATTTTAGATTTAACTTTGTTGTAGCACGAACTTTTTTTTAATTATTACACCAAAATATTTTGATCGACGTTAGCATATCGGTAAGATATAAAAATGGAACAATCGGAAAATATTTTGCCATACGGTATTTATCTTCTTAATTTTTTTATTTTATTTTTTATATATTTTTTTTTATTTGAAATTGTTAATAAATTTTATTTATTTTGGAATAGAAATTAAGGTGGTTGGTGAAGATAAAAAATGTTTAAAATCAACTTTAAAAAACTCAACAGATTCAACAACTTTTGAAAAGCTTAATTCATCATTATTGCCAAAAATATACACCTTAACCTTAGCCGAATCTAAAAGGTCGATGGCAGAATCGTCCATTTTAGATGGACCTGATATAAATAATAATAAAATGGTTGAGCAGGTCGATACTTTAATGGAGAACGTCGAAACACGATTATTAAACCAATCTGTATCAAATGACACAGTTATACATGAACAAACAAGCCTAGAGAAATTTCAACCTCAGAATGCTAATTATGTACAACTTAAAAATGATATTCAAGATCTGGAACGACAACCTCCGATGGTTGAAATGTTAGTAGGGCAAACTGATGTGTCAACATTAACAGATACGTCTATTCAAGTAATGCAACATGATACAAGAGATTTTGAAACTGGAATTGAATATGAAAAGATTCCTCCAATTCGATTTCTTTCAACCGAAACTCTTATAAAGATTTTCAAGTTTCTTTGTTATGAAGATTTGTCTAGTTGTATTCTCGTAAATAAATCATGGTGGTATGCTGCTATTCACGTTCTTTGGTCAGAACCGTTTGAATTCATATTTGAAGGAGATTTTAAATCAGAGACAAAACAGGAAAAGATCTTTTCTTTAATGCGGGTCTATGTTAGCTGTTTTAAGGATGATGTAAAGAATAAATTGTTAGAATCTGGAATTTCACTTCCAAGTGAATATTTTTTAAGACCGGCTTACAATTATGCATCATTTTTACAAAATCTGGATGTTGGATTTTTATATTCTGCTTGTCGTGAATGGAGACAATGGCTTTGTCGACAAGAAGGACAAAGTTTCACTCAAATTATGAGTGATACTGTAAAATACCAACAATTTTTGGTATACAGAGAAATATTCAAAATGTTTGTAAGAACATCACGAGCTATTAAAAAATTTTATTTGGATGAATTGGAATATTCTGGTTTCCAATGTTTTGACCTTCTTTCTATGGATTCCGAATTACAATATTTGACCTCTCTTCCAGGTGCTACCAATTGCTTTCCAGAATTAACATATTTTAGCTGTGATGGATGCGTGCCACGTGAACTTGTCAGATGTTTGTCCGAAATATGCCACAATATTGAACATCTGAGTTTTCATGGGTGTGTTAATATGGGAGGACTTTCTGGCATTTTCCCTTTAATTTTATCCCAAAAAAAATTGCGACATTTAACTCTCATAGGCAATATGGGTTATTGCAAAACTCCCGAGTTAACTATCGTATCAGAGGCTATTAAAAATATTGAGCATTTAACATTGGTCGGAACGGTTCACTTGGAGATGGGACTCTTTACTAATTGTCACAATATAAAATATTTGGAATTATATGACGAAAACATGGATTCAAATACTTGCAGGGTTCTTAACTTTATTGATGCATCATCAGTAAAGATCGAACGAATAACTTTGCGAATTTTCTATATAGATCAGTTCGTCAATAAATTAGTAGAGATTATCAAAAATTCAAATACGAGTCTACAAATGGTTGATATTGAATGGCGCATTCAAAGCAACGAATGTATTAGCGGTACTAATCGTATACTGCGCAATATAGCATTATGTTGCCCAAATCTTCTTATACTTAAGGTTCCAATTTTGTTATATTATAACCAAGAAGCCTTTGATTTATTTACAAAAGTTTTACACGCATGTCAAGAATTAATTTATTTGGGAATTACTGGACCTTCAATTTTCAGATATCAAAACTACTTGCTCGAATTTGGTTCTGATTTGCCACCTAAATTAGAATTCCTTTATTACGATACAATTCCTAAATATTGTGAAGAGAGTGTACTTTGTGAATTTTTCAGTAATATAGTAAAAAATCTTGGTAAAGCTATTTCTATCGAATGGAATCCATTTAATCAAGAATATCACAATAGAATAATTAAAGAATACGCCGATAGTGGAAATGTCATTTTAAAGAAATTGAATGAAGAAAGTGTATTCTCATATGTTGGATTTGAACAGTTTTATTACAGAAAGAGGTAATTTCTTATTATCTATGAATTTTTTTTTTTCACAATTTAATTATTTAATTTACTGATTATTTTTTTTTTAAAAAAAAAAGTTTACGCGGAAAATTCAATTTACATCCAACGAAATTAGATAATTAAATGGTTCGATACATAGAAAGAAATTGTCATCACGTTGTAAAATTTATCCTAATAAAAGATTATTCCTTGTAAACAAGGTTTTATGTTGAATTTCCACTTTGATAATTGAAAATTACTATATGACAACTATATGTTCATATAAGTTCATTGTAAGAATGAATAATGGTTTTTTTTACGTATAAATTTGTAGTTATATTTTGTATACAAAGTTATAAAAAATTTCATAGTTGATTTTCTATTCAAATCTGTCCAATCATTTGCTAAATTGATTAATAAAAGAAAAATCCAATATGTAAGTCTAATATGTTTAAATAATTAGGTATCTTGCTATTTTTATTATTTTCATTTTTCAAAAGTGATGCTAATTCATGATTTACAATCGTCAACTATAGTGACGATAACTTTGGCTCTATATTCCTAGCGATAAATACAATCTGTTTTGTGATAATACGCGCACAACATTTTGATTTTCTATTTAATTACCTGTAAATTTATATTTCGAGAATACATCTGTCTCAAAGGGATTCTTAGAATGAAACCTAATTGCCTCTGAAGTTCGTTCATTATCTGGCCAAAAATCTATATGAAGGAAACGATATCTTACATATTTAAGTAACGTTCTTATCGAGGAAGAATAGAAATGTTCTTTGATTCAACAGGTGTGACTTATTTACTTCTGAGTGATATCTGCACAAACTGCAAGGGGTATCGTCCTCTGTGGTTTGGGGTATCGTTCCTCAGCGCAGTCAGTGATAGCAAGTGACTAGGTCATTGGTCATGTGTCATTTGGGTCATTTCAAGGTTAATTTGAAAATTAAATCATAATTTTGCCGAAATTATTTACACAAAATTTTCGTTAGATGAAATTTGTCACGTGACATTATAAATTTATTAAGTTTAAATGACTCATTTGCCATCACTGTTAAATAAATAAAGTGAGCGCTGTATATAAGACCATATGAAGTATAATGGATGCACCACCTTCTCAATTGATATTTACTGACTGCCTTTTATTTCTGATTTTAGAACGTCCGTGGAATAATATAATATGTAAATATTATATAAATACGCAACAATTTATAACTTATTAGCTACCAAATAATTTTTTAAATAAAGAATTTAGCTAATTTAAATAATATTTACATTTTATTGGATAGGGATATCGGTCTTTGACCGATATTTTTTACCTATCCGATAATTATAAATATGAAATAGTTATTGTTACGTGATAGGTACTGTAATGTGAAATGCTCGAATATGAACAAAATAGTTCCGGATACCAATAATTTGCGCACATAATATTTGTTTTGCTTTTTCTCTTCCAATTCACCTCATTTAATAAACCATTTTATAGTAAAAAATATATGTACATGGATGATAAGATGTTGAAGTGGGCGACAAGAATGCTTCGATTTGTATTGAAGATCAAGTTCTTCAATTAAAGTATGCAATAAGAATTTTATTTGAAATTTAATATATAATATACTGTAGAATTTCAGAAATAAAGTCCGGTATATAAGAGAATATATAAATATCAGTAATTTTGATAAACAAGATACTTTAAAATTTTGATTGGGATTGTTAGTATTATTTTTAAATTATTTCCGATACATTAATACAACATAATATTGTCCACAAACGATGTAAGTAATATAATAATCTTTAATGTTCACTGGAAGATTGGAAGCAAATGTTATTTCCAATTCCAACAAGATAATTGAAAATTCCTAATGCACATATTGTAGTTATAAATAAATGTATATGTAAAATAATACGTGCTGAAAAATATTGAATAAAAAGTATTTTAATGTACACATCTGCTGGTTGGGTGGGTGAATACAATTTTTCGATGGTATTTATATGACATATGAATTCATTATTAAATAAAGTCACACTACGTTAAAAAAATAAAATAAGAATTCAATGAAAGTTTCCATAGATCAAACTTTCAAAACTGAGCAAAACTATAATTATGAAATCTGAAACCTCTGAAATCCTGTACCTAAAAGCGCAGTTTGTTTAAATATCAAACTGATTTTTGCAGATATCGGAAATATCATATTCTTCCAAAGTAAGTTTTCCCCCATAAATATATCTAAGATAAAAAACGTACGTATGAATAATTTTAATCGCTCGGTTTACGGTATTTATCTTTTAATTTAATTTTTTCTTATTGACAAGCTGCAACAACGTACTGTACATTGGTAAAAGATAAATTTTGGCGATAATCTTATGAGGATGAAATTATTAACCACCGTTGCTGATGAAATAGTTGATGCTATATTACAAATAGATAAATCATTTTAGCAATTTAATTTTATTTTATGAAATTAATGAAGCACGTATTTACGTGATTCAGGCATTAAGTGTATCAGGTGATAATTGAAGATCCAGATGCTAAATTAGTAAACAATAAAAAAAACTATTGATAATTATTAAAATTCAAATTCTAAAATATGTGTTAGCTAAAAAAGAAATGACATTGAAAATTTTTAATATTTTAATAATTTTGAGAATGGGAAATTCAAATGTGATTTATTTCAATTACTCTTTCATTAAATAATATATTAATTTAATAATTATTTTTCATAAACATCTGAGAAGAAATTAACGTGTTAAGACGGCATGGCCGAGCGGTTAAGGCGTTAGACTTGAAATCTAATTCCCTTTGGGGAGCGTAGGTTCAAATCCTGCTGCCGTCGAAGTATTTTTTTTCATTCATGGATAGTATGATAATTTTATAAAATTATATCCGATCTATAGATTAAATGATAGTTAGAGGGTATTGTAGCATCAAAATTGTAATCAAGATATATTATTATAAATTTATATAATAAATAACATGCGAACAATTATATTTTGTTTTAGTATGAAATAGATATAACAATAAACTTTTCAACTATCGACGTGATGATGAGGATGATGAGTTCGTTATTGATCAAAGTCAACAATCAAAACAATTGCAGTCACATTAATTTTGCAATTACCTTCTATATTTGGCTAAATTTAAAATTTGGTATAATGATATTCGGTTATTATGTTAATTATATGACTAATCTGTTCATGAATTGTTGAATTTCTAAAAAGAATACGAAAAACACAATAACGAATCAAGCAACACGTGATTTCTATCAAATATCGAAAATATGAATATCGTCTAACTGCTAATGAATTTTTCACCATTTCGATTTTGACTAAAATTACAAATCATAAAAATATCATATTCTTTGAACATACCCTGAAAAATAATTATGTATTGTATCTTGGTATATAAAACCTAACATTAAATATATTATTAAAACACTTTTTTCACTTATATATTAGTACAGTACATTAAAGTTACATAACAGCATTGAATTTCTATAAAAGGCCTCGTTATGATTTGGTAAATTACCAAAATTAGAACTTTATTTACTTTATTTGGTATTAACATGATAAGTATTCGAATTTTTAATAAAACTATTTAATAATTCTTGCATATCTTTTATTTGTTGTTTAAATTCATCTCTCATTTGTTGCTTAAGTTCTTCAAATGATTTATTTTCATTAATTGGTTCTGGAATTTTTAATAAATTTCTTAATCGATTACTAATAAATGGAGGTGAATTAAATTCAGTTCGATTATTATCAATTGCATTAATTAATTTATAAACCTTATTAACAGGTATATCATAATGACTAAAAATAATTAAATAAGATATAATTAGAAAAATTAGAGATATTAAACGTTTAAAATAAATATACTGTACTTACATCCAATCTGGAAACCATTTTTTATTACATCTTTGATAAGGCAACATGTAAAATAATTCAATTTCCATAATAATCTTTTTTAAAAATTATAATAAAGTCAGATATATATTAAAATAAAAATATTTAATATTTATTTATTACCTTTGCCTTTTGAAGTAAAAATTCTTCATTCTTATCATAATTTTCGATCGCCACATTAAGCAATCCAATAAACAAATTCATAAGGTAAATTACCGTAAAAAATGTAAATAAGACTAAAAAAAATGCCATCGAAGGAGGAGTTTGATGAGAAGTCCATGGTGATAAAGAATCAGAGTTACCTATATATATATATATATATTTAAATTAATAATTAATTTTTGATTAAAAGTAATTATATAATTATATAAATTATTACCTATAAGAAGTAAATACATAGCTAAAAGTGAAGTTGGAAATAAACTAAACATATTTGTATTTGAATTAGGAGATTGAATTAATGTAGTTCCATCCGGATTAATAGAATTATCGTCATCATTTTTATTTGGTTTTAAAAGAATGAAAAATGCATGAGCAAATCCAGATATAATAAGAAATAAGACTATTAAAAATGGAAAGACCTTTTTAGCAACCCCAATCATTAAAACAAAATAAATTCCAAATGATTCAAATACTCGAAAAAATAATAAAAATTTAATATTTAGTAATAAATTAGAAAATGCTATAATCCAAAGTGGTGGTTTTCCATAGATAAGCCAATATATTGATGTTATAATAGATAAAAAATACGCCCCTACATCTATTAATAATAAAAAGATTAAATATAATAATGTACCGTATATATATACAAAATATTTGTATATCAATAACTTACCAAATAAGTTCCATAAATCAGTAAAATAAAATTTTGGATTCCATAAACATTGTCTAATCTCAAAAGTTAAATGTATAAAACCAAGTAAAATTGAAATTATAAAAAGTATATTATTATTATCTTGTTCTAATGTAGAAGCTAATGCAAAACAAAGAAAAAAAATAGTATAAATTAACCAAATTAAATAATAAATTTTTTCAAAAATTTTCCATTTAAAATCTATAATAGCAGCAAAATTCCACCATTTATAAAAATTATTGGTATCTATATTATAAAAAAGAATAGGTTTTGGTTTATATAAAATTTCATTCCAATTATTATAATTATTATCTTGATATTTACAAATTTGAGGAAAAGGAATAATAAAACTAATAATTTCTTCCTTAATTTTTAAATGATGAGTTAAACTTTTATAAAATGATATTAACCTTTTAATATAACTATTATTTGATGGAATGGATTTTTCAATAGAAATATTATTTGAATATGCATGAAGGGAAGTATTTGTTGAATTTTTGATAGATAAACAAATAGGAATAGATGTATATATAATATATTTTGTTACTAAATGAGAATAATGATCACATAATTTAGGTAAATATAAACTAATAAGTGCCATGTAACTGTAATCTGCTGAATTCTTTTTAATTAATTCAATAATTTTATCAAAGATTAATTGAATAATATGAATAATAAAATCGTTTTTTTCATTAATTACTACTTTTAATATTTCTGATCCAAATTTTAAAAATTCAATTGGATCATTTATAATATATAAAATTAATGCCTTATATTCTTCATCTTTATCTTTTCTATTTTCAATCATTCTAAATATATTAATAAAATTTGGTGATGGTAATGAAGTTTGTAAATCATTAAATTCATCATTTAACATTTTTTGATAATCACGTGAACTCCAATATTTATTATTCCAAAATATCGAAGTTTTAATGAATCTTCAACTGTATAAATAAAGATTCCTTGTTTAGTAATTAATGCCAAATCCTGATTATTCAATAATCTATATGAATATATGTCATCATATTTAAAATAAATTAAAGAATAATTATTCTGATTTTTTTCCAATTTATCATTATTTTGAGAATTTTTAATTCCAATAAGTTTAACTAAATTAGAAGTTTTTCTTTCAATAATAAATTGAAATAGTTCCCCACCTAATTGAACCATATGATTTTCTGGAAATTTATCATTATTCTTATTATTATTGATATCTTTAAGCATATCTTGTATAGTTTTGAAAATTGGCAAAGTATAAATGTTATTATGATAGGTAATGTTTAACATTTGTTGAAATATATTTTTATTCAATCCATCCGTAATCCAAATATTATTTTCAATAACAGAAATTTTTTTGTTTGATTTAGTTATAATAATATTTTGAGAGTTGCCAAAACTATCACTAATATCAATCGCATCAGAAGTATGAAAAGGATCTAGAAATTTGTAAAAGTTTCATTATTGCAGTATGTCCTAATGATTAATCCTTCAGAATCATCTTCTAAAGTTACAAATTCTATTGGAATGCCGTCTACGAATAAAAAAAAAAAGCAAATAAAATTATTATCAGATATTAAAATAATTACTAAAGTAATACTAACCATATCTTGAAATCCACATTCCAGTTTTCATTGAAAATATTACAACTTCTGTACTAATATTTAATGCTAATAATGTTTGATTTTTATTTATTACTATATTATTAACATTAAGTGAATCACCAAGTAAATATCGGTATTCCATATCAAAAGTCATAGTCAGTAAATTTCATTGAGTAAATCCATATTCATTAAAAAGAAATAACTTTGTTTGATACAAAAGACAACCAATATGATGTTCTTTTATGTTTTTAGGAATTTTTATATCATATATTTGAGGAATTGTATCTGTTGTTGGTCTATTATTAACAAAAGGGTACTTATAAATTTTGTAATTTATTGATATTTTATCTAATATTACTAGAATTAAATCTCCATTTGAAAGAAATCCAATCGAAATTTCATCATTCGAAGAAACAAATAGTTTATCCGCATGCATAAGTTGAAGAAATTGAACTTTGTCAAAATCAATAAGACCTACACCTAAAATTAAATAATTATTATAAAGTTGATTTTGTCCATAAAGCATATTTTTGTAATAATAAAAGATACTTACGAAATTTAAACCTATTTCCATAACATAATAATAAAAATTTTTGATATAGCGCAAATTTATAAACTTTGTGGGGTGGATTAAGGTTGAAATACAAGTCAAGTTTTTGTTGTCCATTTTCTTCGATATTAGCTAGCCATCCAATAATTGCATTATATTCTTCACTATAAGTAACAACATAATTATTTTCTTTACTATGAGTATCAATATATTGAGAAATTATAATTTGCTCAATTCTTTTCCCGGATTTTTCCCCATAATTTGTATTTTTTTCAAGTCCAAGTACGTTCACATTCTTTAAACCATAAACAAGACTCGACATTATCATTTTAAATTTAATTTTTCTTGCATTTGTTGTTGTTGTTGATAATGTTGGTAACATATTGTTATTTATTCCCGTTATTAGTCCTTTTACTCCTTCCATTTCAACTACAGTGCTTTCCATTGTCACGTAAATAAAATTTTTATTCAATAAAATTTACGATAAAAAAAAGTTCTTTTTTATTGGAGTCATTTATAATACTTCGCATGATCACTCCGGGAACGATATTTATAAAATTTGTGAAACATGATAACAATGAATAATATAACAATGCGTCGAAATCGTCAAATTTATATCGTCCTTTCATTTTGAGAACTTTCATGTTTAAATTAAATAAATACTTGTCAAAAAAATCCATTACCGATGGGATAAAGACACATATTAACGTAAGTGATTATACATTTTTTGATCAATGTAATCGATGTATCTAAATTTTTATATATGTGCATACGATTTAGTCGTTTAGATCAAGGATTCAATACACTTTTTTTTTTATTTTAAACTAGGAAAGAAAACCAAAAAAGTGAACGTTTCATGATTTTTGGATCATTCAATCAGATTGCTTGTTGTTCAGTGAAGATTAACTTTGGATGCTTTTTTTAAAAAATTTTACTGCTTTAATAATAATCACGGCGGGACGGATTCATCTCGGCGAATGCATATTCTAATTGCTTATAAACCTTGAGTTTGTAGTTAAGAAAGTTACTGAGTTACAAAATTAACAAATTAAGTATCTTACAATAAAGAATTAGCAATAAATATATGCTTATTTAATACAAGCGCCAAATATTTCAAGTCATAATATGAGCCTCACTAATATGCTATTAATGCTATTCATAGTTTATTAAATACAAATAGATTAAATAGATTCCATTCTGCTTTTACAAATTACATAAATACCGAATTTCTGCTACAGGGACTTTCTGTAGTATCAAAAATTCACTCCCTGGAGTCGTTAATTCATTATGAGAATATTATATTTATATCTTGGAACAAAAAACTTCAGGCAAAAATATTATTATTAATTATATTATAATTTATCGCACATTTTGTCATACAGTATCACGCGATTCTTGAATAATAGAATTGAGGACCTCATAATATACCATAATTATCACATTTTTTGGAAATGGCACATTACATAAACTGTTAGCAGATAATATTATTAGGAAATAACTTTGTACATATGTGAGATGATTTATTTAGCGTATTCAATAACATATTTACGATCTGTTTCTAAAAACTTTTTAATTAGTAAATCTTTTCAACTTCTTTACATTTCTCTCTTCCCAAATTCCTGAAAAAAAAAATACTCACGTGATCAACAAATATAGCCACTTAATATTAATCTTTAGATATGCTTCATGCTAAATCAAACATGAGACACAATCAATTATCAAATCACTACTTCGCACCCTTGTTGCTTATTTATGATATGATTCCAAACTTTTAATTTCGTATATTAAAGACCAAATTAACGATTTATCTCGAGTCACATGGAAACAGCGTAACGATAATTTCAAAGCCTGGTAAGGATTACAAACGATCCAAAATACATTATAAAAGAAATTTCGAGCATTTACCTACACACGATCTCACGAAGAGATCATATTAACATTTTTGTTCCGCCTTATCATAAACACAACCCCCGTATTGATCCGTCTGGCATCAAATTTTTTACATTCAGGATCATGGTCTTCACATAGAGATGAACTTTTATTTGAACAAATAGATTTATTTGATATATTTCGGTTTGATTCTATTTTTTAAATTGTATAATAATCATTTAGTTACGTAATTAGTTTTTTTTATTTCTCTTTTTTTTTCTTTTTTTTGGTGCAGACACTTGGGTACTGGCGTACCTTCCTGTCGTTTTTTTTCCTTTTTTTTTTTACCACTAGAGTGAAGTTGTCTCTTAGGCGACTTGTTTTACAGTTTATTTTTGTACTACTTTTGATTCTATTATACAGTTTCTTTGTAATCTTTACTGGAACTTTTTTTACTCTGAGAAATAAAAATAAAAAATAAAACATTAGATATGCTTCAAAATAATTTTTAATAATTTAGATATTCATTGTATAAATGATAAAGAGAAAACAGCCACAAGGATTGTTTGAATATAATGTTATGCCATTTGGATTGAATTTGAGTAACTAATTTATAAAAGAAAAACACAAAATTAATCCATAATTAATTGCTTTTTTCAATCAACTTTTTGTTTTGGATTTAAAAAAAAATTTTTTTTTTTATTTGACCTTATAAACAAGTAATGTAGAACAAATAATTAAATTGGTTATACAAGACTAAAATATTTATTTTGGATGAATTTAGGATTATGAAAATTACATAAGGATGATCGTCCAATATGTGAAATTAGACTAAATGTGTTAATATCATTTTAAACAAAAATAACAAAAATACAATTCAACCATATAAATGGAACAAAAGAATTACCTAATCATCAATTATCATAACAATCATCATAAATTACATCATTGCATATCGAAAAATTACAAATCACAAATAAGTTAACAATCGATTATAAAGTCCTGTATATTTTTCAAATTTTTTTTTGATTTTTATACATAAAAAAGTTTGAAAAAGATGAGAATAGAAAGGTGGACTTTAGAAGTTCTAGTTAACGAAATACCTCTTCAGGAATATGTAATTTCTGATTCAGTACTTGGAGTAAATATAATTAATTAATTATTAGATTTCTCCCTTTTTTTATCATATTCACGATTGATTTTTTTTCCTTATATTAAATAGGCCAGTGCATCTAACGCATTGAAATCATATGTGGTCGAAGGAGATCGAAAGAAATTTTGGTATAATATTCAAAAAATTATACTTGACTACAATGAATCATTAACTTTTTTATTTATTTATTTATTTTAGCGACTCGGCTACTTTTGTTGCAGTTCCAGCACCTGGAACACATTATAGCATAGTAGTTTCTCCGAGCACAAGTGAAATCGCACCCAAAATTTATGTAGATGGTATAAATGACGGCTATTATGTAAACAGTAGTACTTCGTCATATGGCATCGTTAAGGGTTTTTATAATGGAAATAAAACAATGAGATATGATTTTATTTTCGATAAAACAGAATGGATTGAAACGGATATTCCACAAAGAACTAAATATGGTGGACTTGGTGCAATATCTGTTTATTTCTATAAAATTATAAATAAGTATAAATCATCAAGAAATTATAATTCAGAAAAAGCATTTGAAAAGGTAAAGATTCCGGAAACGAAGAAATGTTTTGACGTGGGTCTTACCACAAAATTTTCCGAAGGCATAGAATATTATGGTTATGGTTCAATAAATTCGATAATAAGAGAAAATGAACCATTAGCTGTACTTCACATTAATTATCGTTTAGCTGATTGGCTTATTCCGATGGCTACTAATACGAGTTATACGGCCTCTGCTGTTTACCGAACAAATACACAAAATTCCTGTGCTTCTGCTTCTACATCTACCTCATCTACATCTACCCCATCTACATCTACCCCATCTACATCTACTACTGCTACTTCGTCTGCTCCTGCGTCTACCTCTTCTTCTGCTGCTACTAATATAGACATTAAAAATGAAGTTAATAATTTTGAAAACGATACTGAAAATAAACCTTTAATTACTCAATCTGTCAAAAAGAGGAAACGAAGATACCAAGAAATGATCATAATATTGGATTCGGATGAGGAGTGCACACATGAAGTGGTGGAGTTAGATTAATATGACAAATGTTTTATTTTTTCAATAATATAGTTATCTAAATATTTAATGTTCTAGAGATAGTAATTTGTTCCTGTTGTATTAAAAAATGTTACGTGATACCCCTATAAATAGTAGCTAGCCTATATATATAAATGCACTTTATTAGCTAGCATTCAAAAATAAATGTATAATAAAAAAAAAAATTCATAAAATTCAAAACTCATTCCCATTTTCTTCAATTTTTCATATAACAGATTTTTATTAATTCTAGTGAACAAAAGACCGTTTCAGAATATGTACTGTAATTCAGTTCTTTGAAGTAAATACTGTATAATAAGATTGGCTTAATAAAATAAGCTAGAGTTGAGATCCGTGTATCCATGTATTCGTGGTATATACAGAGCGACAAGGATCTTGCTTTGGGAAGAACAAACAAGAGAAAGCAAGAGAAAGAGATTTTGATTGGGGAAAAAGATGCTACAAATCATACAATGAATCCATAATTTGATAGATAAGTGCCATCACCAGCTGGCCCGATGGTTATGTCAGAATTACAAGATCATTTTGCTACCTAAATTCGAAATGTCACATATGGTGCTCAAGAATAAAAGAAAAATCCAATCAAGGACAGCATGCTAACCTAGTCACATTTCAGATTTTGAATGTTTCTTTTGTACAAGTTAAGAGAGTACAAGTATTGCAAGGTCATCAAGTGCACCGAGGAGTACACTTCTAAGACGTATGGGCATTGCGAACAAATCAATGACAAACTGGGTGGAGATGGATCAGGATGTGAACGGGCAAGAAACATCTTACTCAAATTGTTAACGGAGGGTCAGGTTTTGGCCTACTTTGGGACATAAACCTGTAGGGATGCGATATGAATGATGCAGATAATGCATAAATAATATAATATCTATCTATAGGCTTTATAATTTATTTTTTATTATCAAGTAATTTATATAATACATAAAATTTTAAGGCATTTTGTTTAAAACTGATCCTTGTTCATTGTCTTCCTATATACAATTATTAGAGTTCCGCCTGATCTAAAATTCAAAATCCATTATCCAAATCACTAAAAAGATAAAAGGAATATTAGTACGTTCCCAAAAAAAGAACCTCTTTTTCAACAGAGGCGGAAAAAATATTAAAAAAGACAAAGGTTTAAACCATTTTATAATAAAAAAATAGATTTTATATTTATTATTAATCATTTAGATATTAAAACAGATGAAAACTAAACCGAGAAAAGTAATTTAATTGTTTCTATTGTTTTTCAATTGTGAATGGCCAAAAAAAACTATCCGTGGATACTATTCGTTAGAATACACGGATAACTAAAAGGCATATCGGCGGATTTGCGTAATCATATTAATCATATTATAGAAATGATTTGTTCGGCTGACATGCACAAAGTGCACATGTGCACATTAGTGTTTAAATGTGCACAGTTGTACAACAAAAAATGTGCACAAATTATTACTAAAAATAGATAAATTATATATAAAAAAAGCAACTTTACATAATGATTTGTTATGATTTCTTAATTTAGTAATAAATTTATCAACTTGTGCACATGACTTTTGGTTCAGATCTTACACACTGCTGACATGTTGATTGCGCAAATCGTTTAAAAGGGAGTTCATGTTTTTGTATGACAAACATTTTTTCGAAGTTTAAATTAACTTGTTTGCACACTAATTCTTCGACTGTTTTGTTGTTTTTTTTTTGTTGAATATAATTCCAAAGTATCAAATTTTATTGAATGAACGAAAATCATCGTGTCCACTTTAGACCTACGAGAAGAAATAGGTAACTGAAAAATATGAATTGATTATTTTCTTTATATCATGTATGAAATTTATTCGAATTTTATAGTTATCAACTCAATGTCGAGGAAGCAATAGCCAATCTTAAACTATTTATTACTCAGGAACGGGAGATTGGAGACGTCTTTCAGGAATATCAGCGACAGAATATTGACGTTGATGTTCACATAATTGCAGGCGATAAATGGAACCAAAAACTGTTTAAAGTTCACAAATTGATTCTGAAGGAACGAAGTGATTATTTTAAAGTAGCACTATCCGATCAATGGGTGCGAAAAGATCCAACCGGAATCATTATCTTTCGAAAAGAGAATATATCACCGGAAATATTTGTTTTGCTCCTTGAGTAAGGCACATGATATTAATAGTTTGTTAATAGTTTCTGATTATTTTAATACAGTATTTGGTGACCATTTTGTTGATTTGCAGATACATTTATACCGGTAAGGTTTCGGTGCCACTTTGCGATACAGACGTTGATTTTGTGGATTTGATTGGAGCGGCCGATGAGATTTTGCTTCCACAATTGGTTATTTCCTTAGAAGGATACCTTGTTGACATGTATTTATCAGAGTCCACAAAATTACTTGAAGTCGAAACATGGTTGCAATCAAACATCGTTCGCTTAGTTTCACTGAAAAAAGGTGGGTACATCGTATTTTATAAAATGGGTGTCATATTTGTCTCATTTTCATGTATACTTTGTTTCAGATATTCCGGAAGGTTTGAGCTTAATTCGATCACGATTTGAAAAACATGTTCGAATAACAGGTCATGATTCCATCCAAGAGATCACCGACAATAAAAATGCAAGCTCTGTAGTATGTTCGGAAATATTTTTTTTTTGTGGCAATCAAATCTCATGACAAATTAAATAAAAACGCTTTTTTATTTATACTTTCTATAGGAATCCACGATATACGTTAATACCCTTTTAAAAGTTTTCAACAAATATCATCACATGGTTCAAACCATATTCGAAAACGAAGCCGGATTTGTAGCATCATTTAATGAAGTCCGTTTTTAATTCATTTACAATTAACATGTTTTAGGTCCTTTTATATAAATTTACATCATTTTTTCGTTTTCTTAAGTTTTGCCGTGAATTTATCAATCGCAACGTACCATTTTTTTCATCACCATCACAATTGCTTGTGGAATTTTGTGACATATTTCTTCGCCGGAATGAAAAAAGTTCAATGGTCGATAATAAGGATGTTATTAACAATATTGTAAGAGATCAAGAACAATATTCAGCTTTTAAATAACGTTTATACAGCAAATTTAATTAAAAGTTTTTTTTTTATTTAAGATAAACATATTTAAATATCTCCATGACAAAGATTTTTTCAAAAAATTTTATTCCCAACTGTTAGCTGAACGTCTTTTGACTCAAAGCTCTTTCTCCGAGGAGGCGGAATTGAACATGATTTCCAGATTAGAGGTTTGGTCAGCATATTGGTTAATCTTAATATCTGAATTGCTTTAATATTGCGTTCCTTATATAGAATGAATGTGGCCTCGAATATACATCCAAAATGCGACTTTTGTTCCATAATATTGGATTAAGTAAGGATCTTAATAATCAGTTCAAGAAACATTTGAATACTGATGATGCAGAACAAGGTGGTGCAATAATTTTGTTTGTTTAACTAAATAATCATTCTATCAATTAACTGTAAACTGTTGTTGTGTCTTTTCAATAGTTGAATTTTACATTTTAGATATGGAAGCCTTGCCAATGTCACCAGTTGTTTCCAACCTGATCATTCCAGATGAAGTGTGTTAAAATCGTGAATTTTCTTGTCTTAGTATCTATTTGGTTGCCTTATGATATTTTATTTTCACAGATAGAGAAAACTTTTCAACGTTTCAAGAAATTTTATAAAGACAAATATCCTTCCCGTAGACCAAAATTGCTACACCATTTATCAAAAGGTGAACTAAAAGCAAATTACCTAAAGACACCAAAAGTATTCCAGGTGAAATAAATTGGCTTTTTTTTTTAGAAATCATTATATTAGTAAGTAGAACTAAATAAAATTTTCCCATAGGCATCAACATATCAGATGAGCATTCTTCTACAGTACAATAATAACACTTCTTATACCCTGTCTCTTATACACATCTAGATGTGTATAAGAGTCTTCTACAGTACAATAATAACACTTCTTATACCCGTGAAGAATTGCTTCAGAATACGGGTATAAACCAAGATTTATTGGATCAACAACTAAAATATTTAACTGATTTAAAACTTTTACTTCTTGATAAGACAACGTACGACTTGAATTTTGAGTTCAATAGGTAGGTTGGTTCATGAACATCTTTGAAGTTACCGCATGATCTAAATTTAATGTCACGTTTTCATTTCCCACAGTGAAGCATTTCAAATCACATTAAAAGATCCTGAAGAAGCAATGCAATTTCATTTTGAACTCCAACGTAGACTTGTGGAGGAAAGGAAATTCCAAATTGAGGTTTGTATATTTTTTTTTTTGATATTTCATTACTATTATCTTACGTGATATAATAATTCATTGTAGAGCACAGTTTTTCAAACTATACGTCATCATAGAGGAATTAGACATGATTCATTAGTATGTGAAGTTGTCATGAAACTTGAACATAAATTCCTTCCAGCACCCTCTATGATTAAAAAAGCAATTAATAGTCTCATAGAAAGAGAACATATAGAGTATGTAGATAAGGGGTATAGAAAAGTACTTTAATTTAGAGTTAGTTACATAATTTTTTTTTTGTTTTTGTGACAATGAAATCTTTTTTGTGTAAAATCTTAATTTTAATTGATTTAAAACTTTAATATACTGTTATACTGTATATGTTTTATACAAATTTTTTGTTTTGCTTTTTTTTCTCTTCAGAATTAAAGAATTACAAAGAAGTTATGTAAACTTCATTTACAAAGTTTTAAGAACTATGTATATTTCTTTTAATAGATAATAATAAAGATAAAAATAAAAATTAATAAAAGAATAAAGATTAATTTATAAAATCCAGTTCCAGCGGAAAAATATTAAAAAAAGACCATTTTATAATAAAAAAATAAAAATTTATATTATTTAGCCATGGCAATCATCAAAAGCTGTGCAAAATCTGTATAGAAATGGAACGGAATATTGTCTTAGCTGTACTCCTATTAACATTAGGTGGATCACCAAGTAAAGAAACAACTTTGATACACAAGACAACCAATATGATGTTCTTTTATGTTTTAATTGAATGAATAATATTGTTATGTGTCAAAATCGTTACGACGTTACGTGATATTAATTACACCAAATTTATATCGTCATTTTCATTTTGAGAAATGTCACGTTTAAATTAAATAATTGATCGATGTAATCGATGTACAGTATCTAAATTTTACTAGTCATTTAGATCAAGGATTCAATATACTTTTTTTGTATTTTAGAGTTCAAACTTGAATGAATTGTAGGAAAAAAACCAAAAAATTGAACGTCCAATGATTTTGGATCTTTTAATCAGATTGCTTGTTGTTGTTCAAATAAAATTAACGTTCAGATGCTTTGTTTAAAACATTTTACCGTTTTAATAATCACGGCGCTCTCGGCAAATGCATCTTCTAATTGCTTATATATTCATTGTAAACCTTGCTTATTTAATACAAGCGTCAAATATTTCAAGCAATAATATAAGCCTCACTAATACGCTATTAATGCTATTCATTAAATAGATTCCATTCCCACTTTTACAAGTTACATAAATACCAAATTTCTGCTTAAGAAGAATATTATTTTTATATCTTGGAACAAAATCTTCAGGCAAAAATATTACTAATTATATTATAATTTAACGACCGAGTTATAGATTCATTAAAAATCACGATAGAATTTATACATATTGATATGTGAGATGATTTATTTAGCGTGCCAATTCAATAACTGATAACATTTCTAAAAACTTGTTAATTAGTAAATTTAGGATATATAAGGATGATTTTATACCTGACAAATACTGTGACACGTAACAAAATTGTAAAACTCCTCTGTTAAATATGTGAATTAGACTAAATGTGTAATAGACTAAATGTGAGAAATAAAAGTCATAATGTCATTATTATAATTAGAACAAAAGAATTACTTAAATATCATAAAATCCATAACAATCACATAAATTACATCATTGTATTGGTTAAATGTTCAAAATTTTTTTGACAATCATAACAATCAGTCGACTATAAAATACAGTATATTTCTCATTTTCATCTTACTTTAGACTTTTATACATAAAAGTTTGAAAAAGATGAGAATAAGAAGGTGGACTTTAGAAGTTTTAGTGAACGAAATACCTCTCCGAGAATATGTAATTTCTGATTCAGTACTTGGAGTAAATATAATTAATTATTAGATTTTTTTTTTTTAGTATCATATGTATCATATTCAAATAAATGATTTCTTTTTCTTATAATAAATAGGCCAGTGCATCTAACGTATTGAAATCATATGTGTTCGAAGGAAATCGAAAGAAATTTTGGTATAAAAATTCAAAATTTATACTTGACTAAATAAATCATAACTTTTTATTTATTTATTTATTTATTTTAGCGACTCGGCTACTTTTATTGCAGTTCCAGGACCTGGAACATATTATAGTATAGTGGTTTCTCCAAGCATAAGTAAAATCGCACCCAAAATTTATGTAGATGGTAGAAATGACGATTCTTATGTAAAAAGTAGTGATTCATCATTTAGCATCGTTAAAGGTTTCCATAATAGAAATAGAACTATAAGATATGATTTCATTTTCGACAAAACAGAATGGATTGAAACGGATATTCCACAAAGAACTAAATATGGTGGACTTGGTATAATATCTGTTTATTTCTATAAAGTCAAAGAAAGGTATGAATCATCAAGAAATTATAGTTCGTATTTGAGCTATGATCTAAACAAAGATTTTAAAGGAGTAAAGATTCCAGAAACTAAGAAATATTTTGACGTGGCTCTTACCACAAAATTTCCGAAGGCATAGAATGTTACGGTGATCGCTCATCATATAAAATAGTAAGAGATGATGAACCATTGGCTGTACTTCACATTAATTATCGTTTAGCTGATTGGCTCATTCCGATAGTTGCTAATATTTATACACAAAATTCCTGTGCTTCTTCTTCTACATCTACCTCATCTACGTCTTCCCCATCTACATCTACTACTTCTACTTCGTCTGCCCTGGCGTCTACCTCTTCTTCTGCTGCTACTAATGTAGACATTAAAAATGTCAAAAAGAGGAAACGAAGATACCAAGAAATGATCGTCTCTTCTGCTGCTACTAATGTAGACATTAAAAATGAAGTTAATAATTTTGAAAGCGATACTGAAAATAAACCTTTAATTACTCAATCTATCAAAAAGAGAAAACGAAGATACCAAGAAATTATCGTAATATTGGATTCGGATGAGGAGTGCACACATGAAGCGGTGGAGTTAGATTGAATATGACAAAACTCATCGAAAATATAGAAATAGTTGTATTAAAATGTTACATGATAACCTTATTAATAGCTAGCCTAAATATCTCAATGCATTTTATTAGCTAGGATTCAAATATAAATGTATATTCAACCCCGCTAAAAAAACCAAGTTTTCATATACAATTTTTAATCTAAAAAAATCGATAGATTGACTTAATTTTAAAGACATACTGTAATTCAGTTCTTTGAAGTAATATAGTAAGATTTGCTTAATAAAAATGAGCTAGAGTTTAGATCCATGTATTCGTGGATATGTTTCCGTGATAAAATACAATATCCGTAATCCCTATAAAAAAATTGAACAGGTAATCCATATCCATATAATACGGATGATTCGGATAATGCAGATAACGCGGATAACTGTGTAATATCTAGGGTTTTATAATTTTATTTTTTTATTCTCAAATAATTTATAATAATATATAATATTTTAAGACATTTTGTTTCGCCGTTCATGGTCTTCCTATATTAGATCTAATTCAAATCCAAATCACTAAAAAAGTAAAAACAAAGGAATATTAGCACGTTTCTAAAAAAAAACCTCTTTTCAGCTTACAATTCCAGAGCCCAGTATTCAAGAGACCGAAGTCTAGGTCCAGGAGGAGGGATAAAGGAAAAGGACGAAAGAGAAGGAAAGGGCAGAAAAAATATTAAAAAAGATAGGGTTATCCCATTTTTATAACAAAAGAAATAAATTATCATTATTTTTTTTAATAAAAAAAGGACTATCCGTGGATACTACCCGAATAATAAAATGAGTATCCGCAATCCGTTATCCGTATGAATACACAGATAATGGATACATGGATCCAAATTCTAAAATGAACGAATATGTGCATTTCACAAATTAATTTTTTATATAATAATTTTGCCAATCATGTTTTTTTCTCCAAATTTCTTTAAAAAGAAAGATTAAAAAGGAGTATTTTCGAAAGTTTAAATAAAGGAGTGCATTTGTTTGTACATTAATTCTTCGGCTGTTTCGTGGTTTTTTTTGTTGACCAATTCTGGAGGATCAAATTTTTATCCACTTTAAACTTACAAAACAGGTAACTTATCAGTTTCCGATTGATTATTTTCTTTATATCATGTATGAAATTTATTCGAATTTTATAGCTATCGACTCAATGATTTTCTAGGAGCGATAAATGAAACCAAATACTTTTTAAAGTTCACAAATTGGATCGAAGTGATTATTTTAAAATAGCACTATCCGATCAATGGGTGCGAAAGATCCGAACGGAATCATTATCTTTCGAAAAGAGAATATATTACCGGAATTGTTGATTTGCAGCTACATTTATACCAGCAAGGTCTCGGTGCCACTTTGCAATACAATCTTGTTGACATGTATAATCAGAGTCCACAAAATCACTTGAAGTTAAAACATGGTTGCAATCAAACATCATTCGCTTAGTTTCACTAAAAAAGGTGGGCGCATCATATTTTTAAAAATGGTTTCATATTTGTCTCTTGATTTTTTATTCTCATGTATTCTTTGTTTCAGATATTCCGGAAGGTTTGAGCTTAGTTCGATCACAATTTGAAGAACATGTTTGAATAGCAGGTCGTGATTCCGTCTAAGATATCATCAAAAATAAAAATGCATTTTTTTTTGACGATCAAATCTCATGATAAATTGAATAAAATGCTTTTTATTTATACATCCACGATATATGTTAATGCCTTTTTAAGAGTTTTCAACAATATCTCATAGTATAAATCATATTCGAAATCGAAAACGAAGCGGGTTTTGTAGCATCATCTAATAAAGTCCGTTATTAATCCATTAGGTCCTTTATATAAATTTACATCAATTTACGTTTCTTAAGTTTGCGATAATTTATTAACTGCAACGAACTTTGCACAGACCCATTTTTGTCATCATCACAATTGCTTGTGGAAATTTGTGACATTCGCCAGAATGAAAAAAGTTCAGTTGTCGATAACAAAGATGTTATTAACAATATCAGATATTGTAAGTGATCAAGGACAATATTCAGCTTTTAAATAACGTTTGGACAGCAAATTTAATTAAAAGTTTTTTTATTTAAGATAAACATATTCAAATATCTCCATAACAAAGATTTTTCAAAAAATTTTATTCCCAACTGTTAGCTGAACCCCAATGATTATGAGCGCTGGTACCCCAAACTTATCTTAGACAGTGTTGTTAATAATAGTACAGCCCGGAGGGTGATCTTCAGCTCGAAAGATTTTTTGCTGAGCTACTCCTGTGCGACAAAAATATGCGGATCACCAGACAGGTCTGTGCGACATATTAATTCACATATAATCGAAAAGAAATTATGTATACTAACCTTTAGTCTATTTTTTTCCCGAACAAACATGAGAAAATGTGAAAGAGTGCTTAGTTCAACACGGGGCCTACCACATAAGTAGATAGTGATGACAAAAGCATATGTTATGAAGGGCTGAGAACTTCGCAATTTCGAGATCGCCGTTAGACCAACCTTGAGTCTTTCTGGTAGATCTCGTTTACATGTGCCCTGCCCAGCGAAAACAATCCATTTTAAGTCTTATTATTTCCTGTTAATCTTTTTTTGAATCTACCACCAGCAACAGTAATAATGTTATAAGCCTCAATTGCATTATTCTTGGCGATAATTTCGATGATATTTTTACGTTAGAGATCTCATGCATTTGTCTAGATAATGGAATCTTCCTTCTTGAGGTATGGTATGATCAAAACCCGGAAATTGTTATTCCGGAAAGGATACGAAAAATTAAGGAGTTGTTTGTCTAGCATCCAAAAAGTTTCGGTCTCCTATAATTAAATAATCTTGTAATTCTCTGTTTTAATGACAGATAAATATCGTAAAATTGGCTACACGTAATAAATGGCGAATGTACAGTCATAGGAGTCAGTAACCACAAATGCAATCAATAATACATCACCGCATTAATCATCACACATGTATTGTATAAATATTTATTTATTTATAAGTTTAGTTTTTTTTCTCACGTCTTTTTTATTTCTTAAGTCTACAATATTCCTGGTTGAATACTTTACAGGAGCCATGGCAGAAATCTATAATAAAGAAGTTCGTGGGGGCGGAGAGAGACTATACAAAAAATGCTTGTAACAAACTCAAAGAAAACCATATTTTATGTAGGACTCAGAATATAATGACACCTTTCGGTTCCGAATGATGTGCCTAGACAAATTTCAGCCGTTCATAATTATCACGTTTTGGGACTCCTGGGGTCTTCTTTGGACGTTCTCCTTTCAGCTGTCAAAGGAGATGAAATTAGAGGAGCAAATGGAATATATAACAAGGAGTCTAGAACGATTGGCGGAAAGTATAATGCTATACAACCAAATGTAAACTTGCGCCATCAACGGTGAGCGTCACGTATTCGAATCAAGGGGAAGTGATAAAATTCATGTTCGGTGCGTCGATTCGTTATCATTGGGAAATGTGCAGCCAGTAGCGGAGTCAAGAGTAGAAAAAATGAATGTGTTACGTTGGGCATCGGATGTGGAGAATGTTTTAACCGAAGAAGAATTGATCAAATGCAGACACAATTTGGGAAATTGCTCAGAGTCGGTTACTTGGGCGGCAATGTATGGTACCCACAGCCTCTCACGGAACGTGTTGTCTTTACGTGAACCCTCGCTCTACTCAGGAAGGAAAATCAAGTATTGAGCATCAAAGAACAATTGTCTCAAGTGCCAGTACGTGATAGAACAGATTGGTCGCCATCAAGTTGCAGTGATAATTTCATTTTAGTTGAAAATCTGAAGAATCTCGTATAGCAACCTTAATCAAATATGAGGTTCTTGAATCTTGATAGTGATCCACGAGAACTAATTTACTATATCAATCGTGTTGCTGAATTTGGCTTCAATCACATAATTATTGTCGGAGAGACTGAATATGGAATGATCTTTATAGATTGTTATGGTCGGGTTTTTATGTGGGATGATGAGAGTCCAATGTTATGGCCACTTGGAAATTCTCCAGAAGAAGTACCAAAACAGACGATAAAGGGAAAGATGTGTTAGGATGGTTCGTACGTATATGAGTATATTAGGAAACCTCAATGTATGTATACAAAAAATTATAACAGTATTGCGTATTAATTATGATGTTATAACTTAATTCTTTGTACACATTTTCTTTCAGATATACACCCTGAAGCGAGAGAAGGAAGTAAAAACAAGTGCTCAAATTATTAAATATTTACAATATCAAATGAGGTTTTAGTTATATCCTGTAAGATGCTCGTGTGTATAATATTTTTTAAAACTTTTATTACCGATATGGGAATGCTTTTCCCCTTTTCTCCGCTGTCAAGAAAGAATAAACTGGGCAGCTGATATAAAGACGTCAAAAACTCTAATCGTGATTATTAAAAAAGATATATATATAATCTTTCTTTCTTGAGGTATGGTTTAAAGAACGCGAAAAATTGAGTTCATTGGTCAAACATCCAAAGATTTTTAACTATAAATCATGTAACTCTATCAGTCAAGGAAGATGTCTTAAAAAATTTGGAGCAAAATTTATTTATTATGGTTGGCATAATAAAATTTTTGATATAGCATCATCAATCAATTTCGCATTCTCATTCTTAAGCTCAGCATTTTCACCCTCAAGATCGGCAATGCGTTGTTCCAATAATTCAAGCTGATCAATAATATTTTTATAGAAGATATAAAATATTCAAAAGTCCGCCCCCTTCGAAGCTATGCTTCTTCAGGGTGAAGCAGAAAGATTATAGAGCTATTTTGTTCAAGAGTGTTTAAGTTATCACCCCGCGGATCAAAGATCAAGGGGGCATTCTGCTAAGAAATTTGCAAAGAAAAAAGTGTTATAAAGAACCAAATTTCCGGGGCCGCGTAGTCTCAGAAAATTGCCAAGAAAATTTTTTATACATGCGAAAAATAAATAAAAAGGTTCGGGACTTTGCCCGTGGTTCGTGATGTCTATACTAGTATACATGATTATTTTTTTTGATTATCTCTTCTACACGACGTTTCTTATTTGGGGGTTCTTCACTAGCTGATACCCTATCCTTTAACAAACCCACTTTAACCTCTAAAATCCTTTTCACGTTCTTGCGCAATTCGGTTGAGTCCTTGAGTGCGTCTTCTGTTAGTGAGATTCGATATCGTACAGTAGATACCTTCGATGCCAATCGGTTGCTATTTACATAAAAAGTTAGGACTATGCGCTAGTAATGCACGATGCCATATACAGTATATATTCATGATAATGTCAGTTAGTTTTTGTGCAAAGCGAAAAATAAAAATCTACATTACTTACGTCCTCAACCTTTCATGCCATAACTTCTGGGTATTTCTTCGATTACCTTGAGAAAATCACGTCCATTAACCTCTTCCTTTCTAAAATTTCAATCTCGACATTTACGGGACTTCTTTCGTCCACTCGTTCATATGGCCGGCAAACGCTATATAAATGTGCTTCAGTCGAGTTGTAATGTACTGTAATTCTAGAGTAAACATACATATCAATAAATGCTATTATGCTATAAATATTGCGAGGAAAAATTCTTGGGAAGTACAGTTATGTATTTCGTCAAAAAATATAGATAATAGTGAAACGACACGATATCATGATATATATAAGAAATAAATCTTGTTAAATATCCAATTGATTCAAAATCGGATCACATTTTATCCCGAATGTCGCCGAAGTCGTCGCATTCTTGATGCTCTGAAAAATCTACTCAAACCACATTCAGAAATAAAAGACAAACCACTGAGCGAAAGCAGGTGAGTGAGTTCATATGCAAGTTATTTATTTCAATATCTGTCCAGTGTTAACCTGTATGAATGAATGTCTCCCTTGTAAGATTGGCTCGAAGATAACTTTAGAAGAATACAATAATTTTCTTATTCGTAAAGAGTCTTCTGGGTACAAATACCAACGAAAAAGTGACGGTGATGTATATGTAATCGACATGTTACTTCACTAAAAATATTTTGAGGTCGCTAACAGAGGAGTTTTCTTTAACCCACCGATAGTTACTAATGGTGATGGATGTAAGAGAATTCCGATTCTTGACCTATATATAATTGATTATTGATATTCACACCCTTCCTTCCTTTAGTCCATTTTGATCCTACTGTAAATGGAGGATTTATTGCTGCAGATGTTGCAGTCGCACCACACTTGAATCATGTCCAACAACCCATTGTCCTATACCCTGGCCCTCCACCTGGAGATAAAAACGTATTTTTTTGAGGTTTGATTTGCTAAATTTGATTTATGATTCTAATATTAATATTTCATCTAGGGGAATCCGCATGCTTGAATAATCTGCGAAGTGGCTAATTCCCAGAGTATTGGCCAATTGATCAGAAAATGTCAAATTGGTTAAATGTAGTTCATGTTCGATACGTTATTGGTATTAAATTGCATGATAAAAGGACAATAACTGATAACCGAGGACGTTATCACAGGTCAATGACAGCATTACTGTTTCGACAAGGAGTAGCCGGATATCAAATAGTAAGGTGCTAATTTATAATTGTTATTTTTTTGGTCAAATCATCTTAATAACCTTAAAATATTTTAGTGGGATTTCGGTACCCACCAGCTAGGAAGAGAAGCGAGCAACACTTCTCTCACAGGATGTAATGCTCCTAATATCCCAGCATTCCAAATTAACAACCCAGTCAACCAAGTTTTCTGGGATCCGACAACAATTCCAGCTGCAGCTGGATACGTGCCAGCTCTTCCCCCTGCGGTTGCTCTTGTTAATTTTACTATCGATCTGTACGTAGTTCAGCAGGTAGTTTTGGACTACCAAGCAAATTGATGATAAAATTATGTAATAAAATGTGCACAGACTCCTATGTATTAATCAAAGAACATCATGCATTCAATATTTATTCGATACATTACACACTCTCCACATCCATATTTATGTAAAAAAAATGTGCAAGCTTTATTGATGTTTATTGAAAACATAATAAAATTCATCCTGAGTAATGTGGCTGTGAAAGATTTGCTCTATCTTATCGATCCCCAATTCAGATTTTATCAGCAATTTGTTAAAATGCAGCTGGACCGTTAACATCCCTACTCAGAATATTTTTGTAATGAAGCTAGGAAAAAAAATCACGGATGCATAACAACTTATCACACTAACTACTTTGCTAAGAAAAATTAAATTTGATTAATATGAAAAACTTTATTATTTTGTATGATATCAGTTGTCACATGCGCAGTAAAGATGCATTCTCTTCATCTATAGGATTGATTAAACAATTCAGAACCAGTAATTGTGGGATAAATTTGTTTATTTTCTGATGTGCTGTATTTATTAAATTTAATTATTTCTTACAAATTATATTAGAAGCGTCCAAACCAAAATGGACAACTTCTGTGACAATTGTGCGTTTTATTCACAAGTTTCCTAAACTTAGGAGTACCAAGAGTATCACGTTTGAATTTCATTTTTGTTGATGAGGAGCTCGGATTACAAAGTTTATCAAAGAAAATGTTAAATGATTCTTGAAAAACCTTTCGTATTGCTAGAAGAATTTCCAAGTCATCAACAAAATTTGATACCTCTCTCAAAGAAGCGGGAATTGTCACTTTTCCTATATTAATCATGATGTACATTCCCCGGACAAGATCCATCATATAGAATTCAACTGTATAATCTATAAAAGTAAATACTATCAAGTTACAAACAAAATCGTGAAAAAAAAAGCAACTACTATAATGTTCCTTACCTACGCATTGGAACCCTAATATTTTTATATCAGCGCCTAATTCTATAGATGAATCAAGACAGTCTTTCATAAAGACTCCAACACGGATCAGATCATTACAATTTTTGTAAACATTGTTTTTTTCTGAGGGTGGACTAACCTCACCCACAAATATGACACCGTTCAATTGTAGCTGGTGGATTATTGAGACTGTGAAATCGGGCTGTTTGCTTCTGATACCTTGTAGCTTTTTTGCTTTACTTTCGTTAATTTCTGTATTCGGCCATTCCACAATGTGCTTGTCTGGATCATGTAACATTTCTCTCATAATGTGGTCAAGGTAATTTGTAATCAGAGTTGTTTCGCTTGGCTCATTTTTAATTTTTGCGGTTGGCAATTTCTTAAGGCATTCCAAGATCATGGAACCAAAGTTCTCATTCAACATTTGATCATTTGTAAGTTCCGTTAACAGAAATTTTGTGGCACTGCTACGCGATTCTTTTATTGCCTTTTTGATCACTTTCCTCAACTTTAATTCACATTCCGTATATAATTCTATTTGCTGAGGAGGATTCGCTTGTTGGTAGATATCATCAAGTAAAGAAGAACTGAATATGTCGATCATCGTTTTTGAATGAGAGCCAGAATTAAGAAGGAAAATCGAAGATAATGATAATATCTCGTGAACATTAGATTCAACAAAAAGACCCCCAGTTTTTGCGATCTTGATAGATTCATTTTGATATTGACGGAATAATCGAGAAACATTGATCTCTCTTATTTTAAGATCGTCGATAGAGTCCTCATCCTTGAAGGATAATTCATCTGGAATATCATTAATTATTATCGGGTAATCCTCCCCCTCTTCTTCAATAAATGGATTACTCGTCGATGGATTATCCATCGGCAATGAATGTACTTTTGGACTACTTGGCGTGGGAGAAGTGTACTCGTCTTGTTCTTGTCTTTTTGAAATCCTATTCTCATTATAATCAACTCTTGGTCTCTTTCTTAGTGAGTAAGACTTGCTATCATTATCTGTAACTGACTCATCCTAGAGTATATCAAATAAATTTGATGATGAATTATATGGGTCGCTTTTTACCTAATGACGTTAACAATGTAATTCATACCAGCTCCTTATTAACATTTTTCATAATGTTTTCAACGCCTTCTTTAGTCCCCTTTGCCATAACACGAGCTATTTTTAGCTGTAATTCAGAACAATAATTAGCACACCATCTAACAATATCGAAGTAAGTAAAATTTATTGACCTGGTCCAACTTTAGTTGGCTTTTTTCTTTGGCATGGTCTATATCCAGAGATTCACATTCAACTTCATTCCAGAATCTATCGATATCCACGTTCTTGTTTCGATGTTTCTTTAGGGTTAATATAATTTGTTAGCATCTTGTCCTCACTGGAAAAGCAGACAATAACGGGGTCTTTAGAAGACTGCCGGCAAAGCAGACCACAACGGGATCTAATGAACGCCGTAAGGTCAGGTGGGACGCATGCACCCGCCATAGTTGTGTGAGTGTTACCCCTTCTCAGGACTGCTGGAGGCCCCCACCTCTACAAAACTTGTAGACCACAACGGGATCTAACGAACGCCATAAAGTGAGCGGGACGCACGCGCTCACCGTAGTCGTGGAAGCATGTTCCCCTTCTCGGGACTTAACAGGGTCCTCCATACTGCCTGCCAGTGATCAAAATGAAAAATGATACTCGCCTCAAAAACATCAAGTAAATTTTGAGCTTTTCGTTTCTTTAGATCCGACCCATTTTCCACCAGGTATTCCAGGCACTTGTGGAGTCTTTGTGCCTCTAGGCGAAAATTGCTTGTAAAATCATCTTGACTTTTACGATACTGGTAATAACCAAGAAATCGGTATTTTTCTGGTGTCGTTGTCTCAAAATATTCATCAAGAGGATACTTCTCCATTAATCCTGAATTTACGCGTCTTAGGGGCTAAAAAAAAGCCACTTGACATTTAAGGCAAATCTGATAATTACACAGTTTGAACACGTGCCGATTATCGCGAACCTACTATTATAATAGACATGGTGTAAAGTTTTTTGCAAAGTTGATGCATATGTAGTGGATGAAACTTTATTAATTATTTTTCTGAGACTACAGCATGAATTATTAGCAATTGGGTTAATAAGAAATGCAGGATATTTCGATTTTTTTATCGCAAGTACGATTCTGCGCCAAACATCACACGTAAAGGCGTGGAGAGCTAGGACTTATAACAAATGGATATTAGGCAATTGGCGAATCACAGCTGATGAATAAAAACAATACCTTTTAGTTCATGTAAAAGTGGTATCCACTTTTCAATTCCACAAGTAAAATTATTTTTATTTATTTTGTCATAATATGAATATCTGCTCTTTTTTTTTTTAAAGCATTCATATTATAAAATGCACCAAATTTTCCACAAAAATCACAACAAATTCTCAAACATAATTATTATTGAAAATGCCCTGGGGTAAATTATCAGCTTCTGGTTATCCTGCTATGTAATAGTCGTGAAAGGAGCCTTCAGCGGACTTTTGCTTTTCAAATGTTTTTCATATATACTTAAAAGATCCTTATAGTGATCAGGATCAGCTAAAATAAAAATGCCCGAAATATGATTAGAATTTTAAATACTTTAAAAAAAATGCAAAAGAAGTTGTATACTGTAATTCTTACCAATAGAAGGTTCAGGATCAGACAAAAATGCAATTTATCAAATACTTCAATTAGTAATTCAACTAATAAACAGATAGTACACTCACTATTATTGTGTTTTTGAGTTTTGTGATAAAATTTGAATACAATGAATATATAAATGCATCTTACTCCATTTGATATACTTGAAATGATTATTGTTTAATTTGACAATATGTATCAATAAATTCCTTTAATTTATGAAATTTTCTTAATCCTACTAGCGTTGTATCATTAATTGTAAGCTGACTTTCAGCTGTTAATATAAACTATTATAACTCTTATAATATTAAAAATAAATTTGGGCAAATATTAATATAAAAAATACCTCAAATAAAGAATCGATTTCAGTTTCTATAGTAGAAGTGATTTTGAATTTTAAATCATGTGAAGTACGATTTTCAAGGTAATTTTAATTGATTTAATAAACTCTTTTAAATGTAAATTATAACTAACTCCTTCACACTCCTTCACAGATTTCAAATAAAGTTTTAAGCTTTTCAAAAGCTTGTTCTGATAATTCACTCATATCTTCTCACTTCAAAGCAACACCTTACAACGCAAGATTTAATATTGACATTATGAGTGATAAAGAGCAGTTCGTACAGCAGCTAAGAAATCAAAATTACCTTTTAAAAACAAGGCTATCAATGATATTTGAACAGATCCATACGTGCATCGGTGATCTGGACCACCATCAGTATATAAAGTAAAATTTTAGGTTTGTTAATAATATTGATATTGAATAGAATAATTATTATAGAGATCTGTTGCATATCGTATAACAGAACTTTGTTTGAAAATTGTATCCTATACTTGACTCTGGTAAAATGAAATTGATATATTATTTGGAATATCAACAAATAAAGAAGCCGAGAGGGTCAAAGATAATTTTATAAATTCATGATCACAGGAATTAAGTATTCCATCAACAGTAGTTAAAGCTGATTTATTTCTCACTCCTGTTGAAGTAGCAACTGAATCTCCAATAGTTTATCATCAACACAAATTAATGTTGTATACTCTTTAAATTTAATAGCAAATTCACGTAAATATCTCTAAAGTGCTCATTATCAAATTAATTATTTATTATATATAGAATATATACTTATAAGGTATTGAAGGTATTGGATATATTGCATGGTATTGTATTCTTTTTAAGTAAATATTCAGATTTCAGCATCAAATCATCTTGTTAACTTATAGTATACAAAGATTTAAACAATGAATAAAGAATGATTGTTACAATTTACAATAAACAACGAGTAAAAAATATGCGTTAAAGCATCGGAGATAATTTAAAATAATCGGATATTCATTTATGCGCAATGTGAAAGGAGTTCAGAATACATTACTTATTTTGGAATATATATTAACATTTTTATTATTTTGGGAATATATTTTAACATTTTTAACATTTATAGTAAATCATACTATATTCACTCAAAAAAGAATTTTTGATAAAATAATTTTTCAACGAAAATCGGAAGACTGCGCTCGGCAATCGGTATAAAAAGTTGATGTATGACCAATTTAATTAAGTACAGTTTATCATCATTATCACCGAAAGCCGAAAGGAAAATGCAGAATGACATATCAATTATTATAACGTTCATATATTAAACGATAACTTCATTCTTAACATTACTAAAATCTTGTGTGGCTGAATGTTATTGTTCATAAAAAAAGAAAAAATATATTACGTACATAATTGGGCGTAATACCATTCCATATTCACTAGGTGATATCCTCGATTATATATCATTCTTTGTTAAAATAAAATGTTACCAAATTTATACAAATCATTTCTAAATAGAAACCTAAATTTAGAAACCCAATAAAATGACGTCTGATAAATTCAAAATCGGGGAATAAGGGTGAGTAATATGACCATTTCCTTTATGTTACTTAACACCGTTAGTTTTATTAATTACCATTATTATTTGAAATTGAGCAACAACCGTTCTCTTCCGAACTGTTAATGGAACTTTTTCACGATTTGTTTATTTATATCATCTGAACAATCTATTTTTTTCTCAGAGTTAATAATCTTGTGAATAGGAAAATTTCTTTTCCTCATGGAAAAAACGATGCTTCAATTACAAAATCGATACAAGCAATAAATGCAAAAATGATAACCCTCCGAAATTATCCGAAATTTTACCATTGCATTCGCAATAAATAAATGCGCTTATCAACAAATCTATATTTTATAATAACAATAACGATAATAGAATTAACATAATCACAATGGCATATGACCAAGTCATTTGAATAATTGTTTTATCAATGCGATCAACAAACCAGATGACTCGGCATCTTGGCGAAATACATTGAACATACCATAATAAAAGTTCTGAAACATGAAATATGTTAATGACCAGTCATGTGGCCGTTGAGAAAGAAAAAAGCGAAACAAAAAATTTGAGTTTTTGATAATAATTTTGTTTACAATAATTAATATTGTTTTAATGTAGCATGGTAAATAATCATGTGTTTATTACATATAGTGTTATTGACAATGGGCTATGTAATATAAACAGCATTTATTTTAGTATACAATTCATTCCATATTAGTAGATAGAAAGCCTCAGGGAAAAAATTTTACAATGAATTAGAAAATTATCTAAAAAGATTTTTTTTTTGCCAATCAAACATGTGGCTGATTGATGAATCTATTCCATAAAACTTATTATACTTGTTATATTATATTTTTATACTTGATATACTTGACATATTTGTTATATGCTATACTTGTTATATTATATATTTGTTATATTTGTGTTATATATTTAAATCAAGTATTTGAAAGATTGATCTTATCAATATATCCACCATTGGTTTAAAAATCCAGTTGAATATCTCTATGAAATATTTTATTGATTGAATGATCAAAAGTTGATGGGGATGAATATTTAGTAATGTGTCACATATTTTGGTCATTAAAATCATTAAATATAATTAAATTATCTAAATTATATTAATTATATTAATTAATTATGTTTTAAATTATTCGGAGACAATGGAAAACAATGTCACAATGAGATTTACGGCTGTCTTATTTATATATAACGACAACAATGACAAAATATTTTATAAATTTTTTGAAAAATGAAAAGAAAAATATATATATATATATTGTTTCTTGGATTTTTTTGGTTTAAAGAAAAATTATTATGGCATCTACTCCTCTTCATTCCTTTAATCTTTCGATGTTTATGAATAATTCAATCATTTTATTCATTTCATTATAAAAAAGAAAACGATTTTTTTTTTTTATGTTTGCAAATACTCTTTACTTCGATTTATTCTTTTAAAAAACGAATTATAATTTTCGAATCTCGGTAAAAATTATATATAACGAAACGTAATAATGTAAAAATACAAAACGAAGAAAAAAATTAATTAAATTCGATAAATCTAATAAACGAAAGATAGGTTTGGTAAAAAGGGAAAAGGAAAAAAAAAATTCGAAAAGTAATAATCTAAATATGGTAATACGACTCCTAACCCCTAATACTGACGAAATTAATCTATGTTACACGAACTATAAAAGTACATATTAGTGTTTTAAATATGATGTTGCAATACTGATGAAAATGACGTGATTATCGTTATGTAAATATAATATATATATTTCGTTAATTTTTTTTTTTTTTTTTTTTAAAAAAAATTTTGCCCTCCATTAATCACAATTGTTTCCTTCTGTACGTAGAAAATCAGCATAGTAGTTACTAATATGATTACCATAAAAACCAGCGTTTGAATCTCCGATGTAAAAGGTTTGACACGTTTCAGGTGCCGAATAATAAAAGCTATTCTGCTGATATTGCTGTTGAGCCAAAAATGTATCAAGACCATCCGCATGACCATATTCATATGGTAAAGGGTTCATTTCATTTACTTGTTCTTGAGTAATGTTAGTACGACTTGTCTCTCTTACTTGACAGTTGATTTGTTTATAACTGCAGGGAACTCCATTCCCTTCTTGGTTTTCCGTAATAAAGTTTACACGACCTGTCTCTCTTACTTGACAGTTGATTTGTTTATAACTGCACGAAACTCCATTCCCTTCTTGGTTTCCCGTAATAATGTTAATACCACAACTTTCGTCTATTTGAAGGTTGGGTGATTTATATTTCTTATTACAATAAACGAAGTTGATACGAGGTTTTCTATGGCGTTTTTCGATATGATTTGGATAAATTTTGCTATGTTGTTCTTTAAGTAATTTAGTTAAATCCACATAGCATTTTTTTTCCTCCATGGTAGCTTCTCTCCATATGTGAGCAGCAACACGGGAGAGATTCTTTCCATCATAAGGTAAGGATTTCTTTACAACATGATTTAGACAACGTCGAAAAACCATAAAGTTGTTCATCGGTTTTGGTTGGCGGTTTGTTCTTCTAACTGTAGCTTGCGTTTGTAACTTACTTATCATATCACTTACTATATCTTCCGACAAAGGGAACAATATTTTTTTATCTATCATTCTAATAATTTGTATGTCAACATTAGATAAAGAGTTGTCCTTCATGGTAAATAACGTACAAGACACGATTGATAAACTATATGATTATAAAGAAATAGGGAAAACAAATGGAATTAGCGAAAGGAAATAAAAAAAAATAATTAATCTATATCATTAATATATAGAGTTTACTTACTACTATTATTTATTTCAAGAAAAAAAATTTTTAACAGCAATCGTGAAGTAAAATGAAAAAGAAAGTTGAGGGCTTTTATAGATCTTTTGTCAACGTTGGAAAAATAAAAAAAAAAAATTTTTTTAATTTGTTAACTTAATAATTTATTTGCCTCTTTATGTTTTAAATTACAATCACATTATCCTATCAATCAATCATCACCAAAGTACGGTATATATTATATATATATAAAAAAAAAAAAAAAGATTACAAATAGAGAAATAAGAAATAAAGAAATTTTTAATAAAAATAAATTTTAATGTAACACGTCTAAAGATAGTAAATTGGGCTTTTTAAAAAAAAGGAAATTTTTCTTTCATAACTATCGACCTATATCTTCGCATTCTTAAAATTTCCTTTCGAGAGGAATGAAAGTCACACTAGCAAGCCACAAATGGCTTGAGATCCGAGATATGACGGTAAATAATTCCGTAGTGCAGGAGGATAAATTAATTCCGAGATTTCGATTGAGGATAAATTAATTCCGAAATTAACATTAATTTCGTTTATCTCATCGGTATTATGTATTAACACCGATGGATTTTTTTTTTGTCATCTACGAAATCCATCGGTGTATACGTCATACACAACGAGTTAAGTCCGTTATTCCATGGATATCTAATAAAAACCACATATACATCGATGCTTCTCTCCCTTCGCTCCCTTCGGGTGGGCCTCAAGACAACAATGAATATTTTAATTATTCATTGATATCCATAGTGTAATTCCGTTAGACCGTTACAGGGGGGAATAAATTCAATTGAAACTCACTCTGCCCACGTTTTCTCCTGTCACACATTTCACAACCTATTAGTTTTTAAAACTAAAAATAAAAAAAAATCAACTTTTTTTTTTTTTGGAAACATTTTTTTTCGAAAAAGAAAAGAAAGAAAGAAAAGAAAGAGATAAAGAAATCAAACGCATGCAGTGTAGAATTGATCTTATGACTCGAAATTTTATATTTCTAGATAAACAATAATTTCTAGAATTCTTAAGATAAGATAATTGGAAATGTTTGTTTATCATTTCGAAAAAAAAAAAAGTTATCTTAAGTTTATGATTTTATTGATAGAGTCAAATGATCAATTTAATCATATCTAATCGACTCGTTATAATTTCTTTTGCATATGAATTATTAATGGGAATTTTGTTTTTTTTGACAAAATATGACGCAAATAAAACAAAAACATTGTCGATCATTGAAACCACATGATACAAATAAAGTTTTTCTTTTGGAATAATATCATCTGATTCACCAAACTGTAAGATATCATTCATTTAATCATAAATTAGTTGCTTAATTTGTTATTATTTTATTCCTTAATATCGTTAAATCAGAGACAATAGAAAGAAAATCAAGGTTTGATCTGATAAGATATGTTTTTTTTATCTTTTCATGTAAGCCACACATTATTAATGTAAGTCACCTGAATTAACTTGGGATTCATGTTTGCGGCGTTCGCCACAATTGCCACCTGCCACACTCGATAAATGATTCGAAATGACATATGTAATATTTTGGTTTATATATAATGTACTAAAAAATCAATTCTTAAAATTCTTAAATTTTTTCATTCATTAATATATCATATACCGTATATATATACACAATTAATTATTTTCTTTTATTAAATAAATGATCTTTTAAATTTGAGATTCAAATATAAATATTATATAATGGTACCGACAGGTACCGTAGTCCGAGGTTAACGTACGAACTAGCCGGAGTTAACGTTAACACTATCACGTGCAAGTGCATAACTCCTAAAACTCGGGCCAGTTCGTACGTTAATATCGTACACCCCCACTGTACGCCCCCTCCTACGAAACCATAATACCAGCCGAGCATATCACCAAAATTACTATAATTCTGGTAAGGAGTTTATCGGAAACTAAACATTGTAACAGTTCCGAAGCAACCGAAGACAAAATCAACTAAAAAACGGTATCTAGATAATAAAGTGACAATAAGTGGAATCAAAATAGCAAGAATAAATTCATTATTAAATGAAATCATTTGAATACATAACATGGTAAATTCCTAAAGATGATGAATTATACTTTACACCAGCTGTCTCATTATATGACATGTTCCAATTACATTTACATAATATTCTAACGATACTTCTTCTTTATCCACTAATTCATAGCATTTAGCTAAACTCAAGTTGAATTTTGAGTTTACAAATTTCAAAAGCTTAAAATTTTCAACACCATTTCCTAATTACAATATACTGTATTTATTTTTTTGTGTTGCTTACCAATAAATAGTTTGTACCAAATCTTTTGCAGTTTCCTTATTAATTTTGGGTTATATCTCAAGATTATTTTAAGGCTGCAAAAAATGACAATAAAATTGCGCTTTATATAATTGAAGTTAGAGCATTTGATAAATCTGTCAAGGACTAAATTACATTTTAAGAAAATTTAAAAAGCTGTACAAAATCGAAGTAATTTATTTGTGCCTAAAAATTTAATTACATTGTCAACCGTTTGGAAAACGGTTAAATATTTACAGAACACAAAAAAATAAAATAAAATAAAATCGTTTAATTTTTGGTACGTTTTTTGTTTGTCACTGATGTCACTGATTTCTTTCATAGAAGAAAGTACAACTAAGCCAAATAACTGAACGAGAAAAAGTGAGTACCGTGATACAAAAGTGTTAAACGCAGGAGTGATTACAAAAATTTCGCTTTGTCTAAACTAAAAAGTATACAGGGTAGTCGATCCCACAGAGGATTCAATATTTATCGAATTTCTCGCGCGAATTCTAAATGTGCGTGAGATCACGTGAAATTTGAAAGTATGTACATCAGCACGTGAAATGCATAATGAAGGTCTAGACACTGTCTAGACTGTCTAGACAATTTTTCTTGGCTGAAAAATGAAAATAAAGTTTCGTCCTTCATAATTTATCTTTCTAATGAGATCCTATTAGGGAAATAATTTATTGTTATTGATTCGACAAAAAAAGGAAGTTATAAAAAAGGTATCAGTTTTTTTGATAGATAATATTTCGGGATGTATCCTTCTCTTAAGAATAAAAAATTATTACGTTTTAGCATACGGAAAATGTCGGAATTCTTGGAAACTCATGTAAGGTCTTATGACATGTAAAATCCAAAAATGAAATAATAATGAATAATGACTCATTTCAATGACGACTTTGTGTTTGTAAACAGTTACTTCTATTAGAGAATTTATCTAATTTATCTATCTATTTTCTAGAATCTATAACATTTACTCCTTTTCTTACTTTTATCTTTATTCGCCCTTTCTCATTACCCTTCACTTGCATATTATGGTCAATTAATCGTATAATGTTGATACTAGATAGTCAAATGTTCGTCCAATCTTTTAAATGATTATAATCAGCCTCATTTTAACATTAAATAATAATTATTAAAGTTGTAGCTTCATTCATTCTAGCATATACATTCGATCGTTAAATCAATTTAGCAACCACTTAATCCGAGAAGAATTAGTCGAAACTTTCATATATTTCTATTTTTAACCATGAAAAGGAAACATGAATAAACGACTTTCCTGATATCTATCTTTACAATAAATCGGTTACCTCTCTATCATTGGTTGACTGGCTGATTTTACTATTTGTTTATTCATCAAGATTATGAACCAGTGAAACACGCAAGAATCAAGAATGGTAAACATATTTTCTCTTTCAACTATTATTTGATTGCATTTTTTTCAAGCCAATATAACTCTAACGCTAAGATCTTTCTATATAGTTAGATGGGAGTTTCAAATATCGGACTTCTGAAGATACAAATATTTTATAATAATTGTAAATATGAGAAGGTAATATCAAAAAAAAAAAAAGCAAATAATCAAAAATTATGAAGATAATTTACTCATAAAAATTGTTTCTTTATTCTTTACAATAAAATATTTAGTTAATTAACAACATTGGTCGTAATAATTTCAGGAAAATATACGAAAGTCAGTAAGAAACCGATTTTTTGGGGGGAATATACTGTATATATATACTGTATTTTTTTCAGTACGAGATAGATCAATCGATCGATTATCAAAGATTATCAACTATCAAGCAATAACTGAAATACTTCATCTCCTCTCCTCGCCAATAGACTTGTATATATTATTCAATAAATAAAACAATATGTAAATCTCCAATCAAATAGGAGCGGTTTGTGGGGTTGAGTTTTTGTTTAAATGATGTAGATTGCATGTTCTTTTAATAAGTTTCCCCCAAAAAAAATAAAAAAATCAAGTATAATTTATCTTACAGTTACACGGCACAAGATTTTTTGAATAAAAAACCATTATTAGAATATACATTCGGAAAAATAAGACATGCTCAGTATATAAACGGATAAGTTGTATATCTATATCTCCCTGAAATAAATTGTCTATAAACATCTAGTTGAATTAAATTGTTTTCGAGCATCTCGTTAAGATCGACATTGCATTGGTAACTGCCAACTGGTAACTTATTTATCAAGAGTCATTTACAGTCAAAACTACTGGTCTTATTTACGTATATCATTTTAATTTATTTAATTTATGAGTCAATGCAAAAGTTGAGAAACTTCAACAGGGTCACATACAGTAAGAGTAATCTTTAAATAATTAGAAAATGTATTATTATTCGGAAATTTTTTATTTAACATTTAAGGGGAAGTCATACAAATTTGAAAGATTAGATTATCGATAATTTATTGTATTTGCAAATATGAAAGTGATTATGTTACAATGTTTTAAATCTCCCACACTCCCCACACAATTTCGCAAAAAAAGTAATTATTGCGTGATCAATATAATCAAAATATATATACCCGCTTTTTCCCACCTTTTTCCCTTTCCCTTTTCCAAATTTCATCCTAAATTTAAAATTTCTAAATATTCTTCAACTTGACTTTTCAAATCATTGAGACTATTAATAGTGCCGAAGCTTGAATCACCCTTAAAAATATTTGCTAACCCCATCTCGGGGTCGTAATAACTTGGATAGTCGCATTGGAAAGATGAATTATACAAATTTTGCGCGATCAACGAAACTACTGCGTCATCAATTTCAGCTCCGCAGTCTTGGGGGTTACC